AAATATATGTAAATACATTAAATTATAGATAAAATGAAGTATTGTGAATAATGTTAGTTTTTGTTCTGAAGCTAGCAGAAGTTGATCTATAGTTGATCTTGTGGCCCATTACCCCAAACTAAGGTGCTGGGACACTTTACCCTGAGTCTATTTTTACCCCACCCCTTCCCCCAAAAAAATTTTCCCTTGATAATACAAAATCACTGAATGGCTGTAATTTTTTCTACAGTGCTGAACTGGTTTTCACGCAAAAATGTACAAACTTGCTTAATTTTTTTGCTTAATTTTTTTTCAACTTTCGTTGCGTGCGATTTAGTAGCTTAGAGCGCCTGGTTTTTCATTATATGATGTGTAAACCAAATTTTATATGTATTTGGTATTTTCTTACGATATGGTAGTTTCTAACCAGGTTGTATTTTCTTACAATATAATACTCTCTTGTCACTTTTAACAGAAGTTCGCCACTGTGTTCATTTTGAGACGATGAATTGTTCCAGCCAGGTAACGGGGTGAAATTTCGGATAAATAAATCAAACACAAGTCTAGAGGCAAGTTGAACTAATTGATAAGAAAATACGCTGGAATCTTCTCTCAAAACGCACTTAAATGGCTATCTATTAAAAAAGGGCATCAACTGAACCTTGAAAATATATTAATTGCACTTTATTAATTTAGACTCGGTCAAATGATCATGTTTTGATTCAATAGGCAGGAACGGCTCAATGGGATCCGCTCCGATTATTGTGAGGCAATTATTTTTGTGCGCATGTAACTTTTGACGAGCACAATAAGTCGCTGCTGCTTCAAAAAAAACGAATCAATAAACCTTTTGTTTATACTACCCGACCTAACTTAAACCGAACACTGGTCGTCGCGTAAACCGTGGCCTCAGGAACGTCGACTTGTAGTGGCTTGGACCAATCACTGACTGCCGCATAGGGAGTTGACTTAACTTATAATAATAATTAACTTGTCGTTTTTTTTGTTACATCGGCTTCTTCCTAGAGATGTGACGGCTAACGAAAACACAACCACCTAATTGCTTTTCGCGAGTCTGAACCTTGTTATGCTACCGCTGTATAACGTTGTTAACCTCTATTGCTAACGCCAATGACATATACGGCTCTTAATAAGTCATTAGCTGGACCTCCCGATTGAAAAATTTAATTTTTCGATTAAGATCTGGCCACTGTCGTGTAGTCGTAATTGAAACAATTGCAACGATGTTATTACAGCAACCTTTTCAATTAAGTTTTTAAAATCAGATTTGCCAAAAAAAACATCAAGCGACGGCTTGTTTTTCAAATTGTTAGCCAATTAGCGGTTTTCCCGAGCTGATCTTCTGCCGCTTTTGAAGTTTGTGCTTGCAAAGTATTCTAATAGCTCATTTACTTATTCCGCCCAAATTTTAAATTTTCTATATCTTGCTGATACTAGTATAGCCTTCAATCTTTTAGCTAAAATTAGCCAATGAGATTCAGCTGAGAGAAAAGGTTGTGCTTTCACATTGCAGCAGATATAAAATTAGCCGAATGAAAATATCTTATGTTTAGTTATCGTCTGGAACTGACATGAACTTTATGTCTGTTATCTATTATAGATTTAAATGCGGGCTTCACTATCTCGCTATCTTTAAGCTTTTTCACCGTATTATTTTTGCATGTTTAACAAGTGAATTTTTCACGTAAGCTATATCGAATTTTGCAATGGTTAAGATTTTTTTTTCGATTATCCAGTTTGAATTTAGTGTTTATTTCACCAAGTTTTAAAGTAGCAAATCAATTGTGGGATGAAATTACGAAGTTATGAGGTTGCGAATTCTGTCGCCAATTATGAGTACCCAGTTGGTTATAGCTAGTGAGATACGACGGTTGTTGTATTTTTGTCAAATTTTTTTCAGAAAACTTCAATTGAAAAATAATTTACAAAACTTGAAAATCCCAACCCTGTAGTTGGGTGTTGTCAGAGTACTCTCAAAGATTGCGAATTTTGTCTATTATTTATTTAAATGCGGGCTTCACTTTTCTCGCCCAATTTAAGCTTTTTCAACGTTTTATTTTTGCATGCTTAACGAAAAAAAATTTTCACGCGTAAGCTATATCGTATATTGCAATGGTTAATAATTTTTTTCTGATTTTCAGTTTAAATGAAGTGTTTCTTTCACCGAGTTTTAAATAAGCAGTGCGATAGTGGGATGCTGTAGGGCTTCCCAAGAGGTTGGGAATTTTACTTATAATTATGAATGCCCAAATCTTTTTAGTGTACGAGATATGACTGCCTTCGTGATTTTTTCAAAAATTTTAAGAAAACTCAAATTACAAAATAGGTTAAAAAACTTGAAATTCCCAACCCTGTAGCTGGGTGCTGTAGATATAAAATTTTCAAAACTTTCGAAACTCCCATCTTTATAGTGAGGCTCTCTCAGGGTTTTCTTAGTTGTTGCGAATCTTGCCTCCAAATATTACTGCTCAAATCCTTGTTGTTTTCGAGATATGAAACTTTTTGTGATTTTTTCAAGCAAATTTCTGGAAATTTAGGTTTTTCCAAAATTTGAAAATCCCAACCCTGTAGGTGGCGTCTGCAAGGGTAATCTCAGGGTTTGAGAATCTTATCTCCAAATATGACTGCTCAAATCCTTGTATTTTTTGAGATTTAACGTTTTTGTGATTTAAAAAAAAAATTCAGAAAACTTAATTTTATTTTTTTTTTTTCAAAATTTGAAGTTACCAAATTTTGAAAAAATCACGAAGGCATTTTTATTCCTTCGTGGAATAAAAATGCCTTCGGATATAAGATTCGCAAACCCTGATAAGATTCGTCAGGGTTTGCGAATCTTATCTCCAAATATGACTGCTCAAATCCTTGTATTTTTTGAGATTTAACGTTTTTGTGATTTAAAAAAAAATTTCAGAAAACTTAATTTTTTTTTTTTTTTTTTAAATTTGAATTTACCAACTCAGTAGTTGGGTGCTGTCTGGGTTTTCTGAGGGATTGTGAATCTTGCCTCCAAATATCATTGCTCAATTTTTTGTATTTTTTCCTAATATGACGTTTTTTGTGATGTTTTCAGAAGTTTTTCAGAAAACATAAATTTATTTTTTTGTCTCAAAGTTTGATTTTCCCAACGCTGTAGTTGGGTACTGTAAGAATACCCTGAGGAGTTGCAAAGATATAAAAAAAACTTCACAAGTTTTATTGTTTTTCAAAACTTGAGTGAAACATTTAACGAAATTTGAAACTACCAACCCTGTAATTGGGTGCTGTCAGAGTACACTCAAAAGATGCACTTTCCAATATGTGCGGTTTGTATGAATTGTTAAAAATTCGAAGCACTCGAGCTGCGCTACATGCTAGTCTTTTTTTAAAATTTTGCCAGACACTAGTAGTGAAAATCGCTGCTGCAAAAATAGGGTTATCTAGGGCTTTATTTTGACCAGGCGAAGGTTTCGCTTTGGCGTATATTGGCTTCAAAACTTGATTCGATGTTTTTTTTGCTTTGATCGAGCAGTTTACCGATTTCTATTTCACATTGTAGTCGTTTATATCTGCAATTTTTTTTAGCATTTTGATAAAAATATGACAAGTTGTTGATGAAACTATTTAAGAGGATCTGGCGGGATCAAAGCTTGAAACATTTTGTTTTTGAAGGGTTAGTTGCCAGACAATCGGAATTGGTTTAATTAGATGTTCCTTAGTCGGCTTTAAAAAGAATTGCAACAAAGGTTGTACATTTGAAGAATCCAAATTCTGAAATACACAGCCTGACTGGCATTGAATGGTGAAGTTCCGCAGAAATTGTTGGAAGTTACTCAGAAAAGCAAACCCTCACCCGCGATAACGTTGCTGGAATCGCTGAAAAGTTTTATTGGAACAGCCAATTTTAAAGGACCTTATTTTGTTGATTGAATGTAGAATAGTGAGAATATATGTAAGGCGAAAAGTTTAAACACAATTCTAGTCAGTTGCAAAGAACATAGCAAAAAGTGCGTACACGTACATTGTTACTTACATTATTACTCACTTTTTTTTTCAATTGCTCTTTGGAAAACTAATACGGGGCAGTACAACAGTGCCGAAAATGAAAAAGTGTCCAACAGTACCGAAACTATTTTCGGCACATTTGTACTTCGGCACTTCTGCTGCCCTTAGAGGGGTATTCAACTGCAGTGCCGAAGTACAAGAGTGCCGAAAATAAAATTGTTGTTTAACAGTGCCGAAAACCATCAATTTTCGGCACTGTTGAACACTTTTTCATTTTCGGCACTGTTGTACTTCGGCACTGTTGAACGCCCCCACTAATACTTACAAATTCTGTGTCCCATGACTGTAGCTGCGCTGTTCAATCGGTCTGCTACCGGCGCTTTTTTGCATGGTATTCTTTTTTCATCTGTTACTGATCAATTTTAATGGCATTAATATACAATTTGAATTCATGTCAACTTGTTAAAAACTATTTGTTGTCAGTCAGTTTTAACGCTTCTTATATTTGCATCTTATGGCTAAGTTTCCATTTTATTAAGTGAAACAAGTTAACCTTAGCATAAAGATAAAATAGCATAAAAATTGAAATTTTTGAGTAGAAGCTCAATTACATATTAGCCAATCAGATTTCCCGATACTACTTCTAGCCAAATTCTTCCGGCTATCTATCTTATTGTTTTATATGGCTATGACTAAAAGTTCCTCCAGTTTTTTCAGAACCACGATATGAACTGTTCTTCCGGAATAGCAAATTTAGTGTTAAAAAGCACGCGATAACACCTTAATAAGGCTAGAAAAAATGTTATGCTATTTTATACAGCCCCGTGAAATAACAGTTATTAATATTAACAAATATTTGAATAATGTATTTGAGCAAAATTTGCAGCCTAGATTTATAAAAATACGGCGTTTAACGAACTAAACTTCCTTCACTAGAAACTTGTCTACAATTCAATTATTTGATTTTCTTGTCGCGGATGACATTTTTGTTTTGATTTAACACTTTTTAATTGCAGTTTTAGATAACAGTTTTTAATGTCTTCAACAAATGAGGGATGGGAGTGTTCGATCTGCACTGAAGTTCTTCTAGACCCCCGCGTACTTCCATGTGGACACTCCTTCTGCTCCCCTCCTCGAAGGTGTCTCCAATCTTTGCTCCTCGAACCCGAAAAAGTCTTCAAATGTGCCTTGTGCAACAAAACACACAAAGTCAACCTATCAGATCTGATTCCTCTTTACGGGATCCGGGATGCATTGCAGAGCATGTCAACGTCCATGACTCAAGCGTCCAAAGCTGAATCATCGTCCAAAAAGAGATCTGAGAAGTTTCCAACCTGCAGCACCCATCCTCTGAACGACTTGACAATGTGGTGTAGCGACTGCGCTGTTGCTGTGTGTTCAATTTGCCTCGATCAAAACCACGAAGAGCACAGTATGAAAAGTTATAAATCAATTTTGAGGAAGGAGGCCCTTAAAATTCAGGACAAATTTGAACAAATTCGAAAGAGCGAAGTTGTGTCGGAGTCCAACTTGTCAAAATTACAGTCTGAACTGGGAAAGCACAAAAAAATAGCGAATGATTTGACGATTAAATTGACAAAACTTAAGGAACTGAAAGCGTTTCAAGAAAGTTACGACCAAAACAGCGCCGAATTTTCCTCGTTCTGTGCCGGAGAAGAGTCTAACTTCGATTTGAGAAACGTTGATATTTTCTCGAAATGTCTCAGAATATCGCAAGATGAATTGAGTTCTCTTAAAAACAACCCAGAAGCTGAAAATAAAGATTCGTTGAAATTCGGCGCGCTTTTTCACACAATTCGGAATCTGAAGGCAAGCAAAGAGTTCTGCTCGGGGTCTTTAGTAACCGGAGATCACAGATTTTGGGTGTCCTGTTTGCGTTGCGATGTCGGGGAAGGTGAATCGCTCTTTCTCTTTCTGCATTGCGAACCGATTGATTTGAGTAAATTGAGTCATGGATGGGGTGCTAATGTACGTTATAAACTGACATTGGTAAACTGGAGGTCTACGGAACAGTCGATTTGGATCGAAAATACGAAGAATTTTTCGCATAAAGAGACTTGTTACGGAGAGAGTGTAATAAAATGGAAGTCGCTACTGGACCATGAAAAAAACTGGCTTTCTGGAAACGACAGAATTTTTGTAGAGTGTGAACTTTATGAAATTGATGCAAACTGATAATGAATGTCTTGAAATTATCAAAATATCCTAGATTTTATTCTTTTAGTTCTATTTTTCAATCATCTGTAGTGTTTTTGTTGTAAAAATATTTTTCAGCTCTAGTGTTTTGGTTAATAGACGAAAAACTGCTGAAAATGGTAGTAGGATGATTAGATGATATTTTTGGAATTGTTGCGTTGTTGCTTCGGAATTTGAAATACGACCAAAAGGAAATTTGCATGACAATAAACCGATTCCATTGGAAGTTGGTGATATTTACCTGATTTTGAGCAAGACTGAAAAAATTCAACCTTATTTTCACCCAATGTTTGATACTTGCTCGAAATCATGTGAATTGATTCGGTGAATACCGTCAGCTTAGCCTAGAAACAGGCTGAACTCCGTTGGGTTAGCTCGTTTAACTTGTCTTTTACTTATCGTTCATCTGTCGAAGTAGGGCTTCAACTTAATATAAAATAAGACAACCGTAACATGTTTTTGCATCTTAGAAATTCGTGGTAATAGTTTTCTGCAGTCAAAGAACGAAGGTCCATTAGGTGTTTTTGTTTCGACCAATCTTGCCGTAGGATGTTTTTTCCAAAAATCAAGTAACACAAATGAGCGTCAGGTAAGATACAGTGATAGTGATATATCATATTGAATGAAGTATTTTCTGTCGTGATTCTAATAAACTTTTATAAATTGTCGAGAAAAGTTGGTCTGATTGTATCCGTTTTCAGTTGTTTTTTAGCTGGAGGTTTTTCATACCGACTCTTAAGGATTTCAATTACCCTTTGCCCTTATTTGTTTTCCGAACAGTTTCAGCATTTTAGGTCTTACTTAAACAATACATTTATTTCGGTCTTTGATTTTTTTGTTCCTTTTTTTCTGAGAGTCAAAATTATCGCCCAAAGTGGATTTTTTCTAGCTGTTTGATTAATTTCGGCAATGTTTTGAATTGTCAAAATCAGGTATATTCGAAATGTTTTCTTTCTAGCAAAATGTTTCTAAAAGCTATCCAACAGTTTACCGCTATTTACAATACTGTGTTAGAAATTGCAGATTGTAACTCTTTTCACTCAAAGAATTTTTTTTCAATCTTTTCAAGCGTCCTTCGGACCTATTTTGACAGTTTATCTGTAATTGATGTTTAATAAGAATTCAACCAACATGTTAATTAATTACTTCCGCTGCACAGATCCATTCATACTTTCATTCATTCATCCATGTATTCAGCCATCGTTCCAACCATCGTTATATCTAGCAATGTATCCAACCAGCCCTTCATCCAATCAGACATCGTACCAGCCATCCCTCAATTCATCTAGCCAGCCATCTATCCAGCTAGTCTTCCATCTAGCCCTCCAACCAACCAGTCATCCATCGAACCAGCCATTAATCCATCGAAGCAGCCATCCATCAGTTCATCACTCCAATCAGTCATCCAGCCAACTAGCCATCCATTCTTTCATCTATCCTGCCATTCATGCATCCATCGACCTGTACTTGTACATGTACTTGATTCATTGCCCAAGTATTTGATTATTTTAATTTCATCGGCTATTCTATGATGAGTTATAATGAAGTAGTATCCATAGCCAATTAATCTCTAGAAAACCTGTGTACGGCAAATATGACCAATTTTCTTAGACCCATTTAGGTAGTTAATTTGTCCCCTAAAATCTAGCTGAATGGTCTCATTGGGTTCCTCAAGTTGGGCTACTAACCAATTTGTCCGTTGGGTATTTTAGTTTGGCTACTATACTAAGCAATATGTCCGTTGGGTATTTTCGCTTCTGTACACCGGAAACAAAAGTTTCCCTTTGCTGCTAGACTCTTATAACTGTATGGGACAAAAGGTCCCGGGCTGCACTAACCATATTGGGTTTTCCGTGATGGCAGTAATGTATTCTCGCTTCGATGCGAACTTAAAATAGTAGTGGGATAATTAATCGGCCGTCGAGCCAAACGTGTTTGAAATTTTTTGCGACTCAATTATTTCCTTGCTCTACGTTTTTTAAGCCTTGTGACAAAATTTAAACGAAAAACTCGAATAGGGCGCTTTTGCTCAAACTACCGGATTTTTCTCTGACCGCCAGATCGTAGGCCAACTGTGCCCTCTTTGCAAATTCTAACAGTGCCTTAATTGGTGTTTGCACATTTTTTCTAGCTCTAATATCATCAACCTTGCTGTTTTCTTAATAGCTGGATTAATTGCGGCAATAATTTCCGGTTAATTGGGATAATGAAGCAAATTTCTTACCAACCTTAGTTCCCAGGAAGGTTGCACTAATTTTTTTGCTGTGAATTAGCGGTCGGTAGCACTTTGATCGGAATTTTAAATTACTCTGTGATACGGTTTTAAACTTAAAATCTCCAATACTTCAAGCAAAAGAGTCTACTCGGGTTTTTTTTTGTTTCACCTCTGTCACCGGGTTCAACAAAAAGATCTAAACAAACAGGAATTTTACTCTTACGTGAATTTCAAATACCGGAATTGAAATTTAATTTAATTGTTCCGACCATTGAAATTGAGGAGGAAATATGTATTCGGATGTGTTTTAATTTTTTCTTTTTGTTTTCCACGCAAAATCAGGTACCACAAATAATCAACAGACTGAGTTGAATGATGTCTCATACTCAAGCCCTTTTAGTCGTGATTCGCACAACATAAAAAAATCCTTAATTTTTTTTACTAGCGTCGAGAAAAACCAGCTTAAGTTTTTTAGTTTTTCGTCTAATTTCGAGCGAGTGAGCAGGCTTATAATAGCTTGTTTATATTTGTTCAAGCCTTGAAAATTTAGTTTTATTCAAGTAATGTTAATTTTTCTATTTGTAGTGCCCTATTAGGTATCAAAAGATTAAAAATTTCAGAAAAAAATTGAAAAATTCTAAAAAAAACTAATAATTTTTCTACAAAAACAGTTTTTCAATTTGCTATCTTACTATGACTGTCAAATATGACTAAGTCTTAGGTTTTGTTCTGATCATTTTATTGTAACACGCAGAAAAAACGACACAAATTTGAAAAAAAAAATTGTCTTCGATATTTTTTTAAAAACTATGGTCGGAACATTCTGCGCTTCTTGCAGAGTAACTAGCTATCTTGTCTTCAGTTTTTCTTGCTTGTCTGCACTCTTTTTTGTTGGGATTTTTTAACTATATTATCTCTCGGGTACCTAGTTACGAATATCCCCCTATAAAGAAATATATTAACGGTAAAGCATATCACTTTTCGGCTTTTTAACTAGCAATTTGCGACGAAATTTTAAAAAGTCATTGAAAAAATATTGTTGCCTGAGCTCAAATTTAAAAAGATGTTTCATCTGTGATTATGTTTCCTAAAACAATGGGAGTTTAAAGATTGCAAACTTGGGACAAATAAAGTGGGATATTTTTCGTGCTGTAAACGCGTAAGCGAAGGCTTAATCCGTATTAGAAATCGTTGCAATAAAATTTGAGGCGTGCTGGTTCATCTTTTTAATAATTTGCTATTTGCAAAAACTATCGCTGTGTACTTAACATGGCGTGTGGAGATGATTTTCAAAAAAATTTTATTCAGTTTTTTATTGAAAGTTACATCAATTATTTTATTTTGAATATCTCTATAGAAATGAAAATGCAGTCGTATCATCCAGGACTTTGCACTGATATGAGCAGTTTCATTCAGTTGTTCCAAAGGATTGATGATTTGAAAAAATTAAAACAAAAATTTCGGATAAACCGTACAATTTCCCCCCCCCCCCCCCCACTCCCGTTCAATTTTTGTTTTATCTTTTAAAAATCATCAACTCTTTGGTACAATTGAACAAGACTGCTCATATTAGTTTAAAACCCTGAATGTTCCGACTCCATTTTCATTTCTATGGAGAAATTTAAAATCAAATAATTGTTGTTAACTTCATCAAAAAAACTGAAAAAAAGTCAAAATTTCTATTTTGAATAAGAAATTTTCATAAGCTAACTTTGAGTGCAGCCTCGGTTCGTAATACTACTTTAATCTAGGTAATTAACAGCATTTAGATGCCATCCCGCATAAAAATTGTTTCAACTTTTTTATTTGCGCGTTTGTATGAAAATCATATTTTCAACAGAATTGTTTTTCAGAATTTAAAATTGCTAAGGCAGGGTATTCTACTGTTGGTCACTTAGTAGAAGTAGAGAAACGAAGATACGGTTGATACAAAGTTTCTAAGCGTAAAAATTTTATGTTTTGATGTATGGGTTTCAGGTATTCTTTTTGATGATCAAAAATTCTGAGAGATAGACAAATTTTAGCTCCGCGCATATGCTTACTACTTTCAAAATTAAACAAAAAACTGATCTAATTGGAAAAGGGGTAGGTTTTGATTAGATTGGAGTTAATCTCGCAAGAAAATAAAATTTCATCAGCACATTGATCGAGTGAAAATCTAAATTTTTATAAGTCGTTTGGTTTTTTGTTGCAAAAGAGAAAATTTTAAACAGGACAGCAGTTAATAGTTGCCTCTAAAAGTTATGTTTAACCAACGTTGTATTCTACCAACCAAAGAGATTTTGCGTTGATTAGTCCCATTCACGGTATATATATATATAAACATAAGCTATTTGCATTAGTTAGAAAAATCGAGTAATTCAAATTTTCACATGGAACCAGTTAGATTTTGCGCAATTTCTGCACTTTCCTTTGCTGATTGTGTAAAATTTAATCCTCAAAAAAAGGAAAGTTTTGGCAAAAAAAAATGAAACTTGAAACTAATTCTAGAACGGAAATTTTGATCTGAATTTCTAGTGAAAGGAGAGAATATTTTTTTTCAAAGTCATTAATTTTTTCAATGAGAACGCTGAATATTTAAAAGTTTAATTTGCACAAATTGGCGTCAATTTCTCCCGAAGCAAACCAGCATATGTAGAAAATGAGACAAACCGTCAACAGCAATCACTGGTTTTGAACAAACTTGATTAGTTTGAGATATTTGAAGTTTGTGAAAGTCTAGAAAAAAGATGAGGACAGTTTGCGATGCTATCAACACAGTTCTTGTCAAAATTTACTGGCAGTTACCCTAACAAAATTTTTCATGACTGTTTAAAGCCAGGAATTTTGATCAGACTGAATAAAAATTGCAAAATTTGTGCCAGTTTTTAAGGTGGGAAAATTAAACTTTAAGATATGTAATGCTCTCTCTCACGCAGCAATCGTTTTTGATAGAAGTAAAAAAAACCAAGATCATGATTTATTATTGTTTAAAAAAATTTAAGAAATACGTGTCAGACTTCTCCTTACTGACACTGAATTAGATAAGGGGCAGGTTTTGATTAGTTCATCTCGCAGGAAATTGAAAACTCATCAGCACATTGATCGAGTGAAAAAACTAAATTTTTCTAAGTCGTTTGGTTTTTTGTTGCAACAGAGAAAATTTTAAACAGGACAGCAGTTAATAGTTGCCTCTAAAAGTTATGTTCAACCAATCGTCCAAAAAAAATTTTAGTTTATGCAAACACTGACAAATCCAAACTGTTTAAAGGCAATATGGAAATCAAAAGGCTAATTAATAACAATTTATCAGCGGAAGACGAGTTCATCCATAAATTCATTGAATGAAAACGAAAATTATACGATCAAATATTTCTTTCTTGAAATCATTCAGCCAGATATTTTTTATCTTGATAGTTTGAAATCATTGGGGAAAGCTATTCGTCAAAATTTTCATAACTGAACAAGAGATAAGATGTTTATATATAATAATTAAAGAAAAAATATAGTCAAAAGTTAAAATTAGGGGGAAATAAACTAGCAAGAGATTCTATGAGACCTGAATTGTTGTGAAAAACGTTTTCCCATGAATCAGTTCTTTGAACGTGGCTTCTTTGATTTAATTGAAAATTTTCAATCATAGGTTTTCGAAAAACTTCAATCTAGGAAACAATTTTTTTATGGGACATGCTTTGAGAGTTTTTTTTGCGTAATCATAAGACTCTGTTTCTGGTGGTTTATAGGTAATGGATGGAAAACATTATCCAGAAACCAAAAAAAAACTTAATGAAAGTTTTTAGAAAAGGGATTGCAAGAAGGGTAGAAAAAGGTGTATATTAAAAATATGTCTACCAATGGAACGATCCATTGGATGTAAGAAATAAAACATGTTATTGTTCTCCGCTCAAGAAGACACCTGAAAACGGGACGTGCTGACCTAATGATATTCTCCCATGTGATTCAGATTCGATTTTGTTTATTCAAACAACTCTGAAGCTAGATATCGTTTGGAAATAATTTGTTATTGTTAATACTAGTACTATTATAATGATTTTGATTATTATAGGTCACAACTGGAGTGTGAAAGCGGAAAACTTAGTTTTTGAAAATTAAACATCTCAGAATTCGAAAACATAAAAGCGTCCCATCACAGAGGGGCTGATTTAGTGAGGTAACGTGGCAGCGAACGCTTACTGTTGCGTTTGACTGTCCCACTGTCCAAAGAATCCCCTTTTTGGTACTTTCTTACGATATCTGTGTTTGTCTGACAGACCTAAAAGAGGACCAGTTTTGGTTAACCGACCGCGTGTTTAGTTAGGCATGATATCTCTCCCAATTATTTTTTTGTGTCTTGGAAGAGCTCGAGAAACCCAATGTTTTTGAGTGCCCTCAAAACTTTAAGGTCGCCGAACCAATTGATTGGTTTTTCGTGACTAAAAACATAAGTAAATAAGCACGATAAGAAGAGCAAATTTGAGCTAAGAGAAAAATCAGGCTATTTTTTACCTCCTTGACCAGGGCGTGATTAAGCAAATGCTTTTAATAACATTAGGCCAAATCTATATTTATTTCTGCAGAAGGTTTGAAAAGTTTTTTGATGTTTCCATTTATATAACAAGGGCGAACATAAACTATGATTGATATTAGCAAATATAGTTCAGACAAATATTTGATTTATTTGATGGGAATAAACAAATATTTGAAGGTACTATTTGAGAGTAAAATCTCTTATTGTTCATTCTATTATTAAGATGAGACTTCAACTTCAGAGCTTAATTTGTGCTTACTTTTTGGCGATCATTGGTCATTCAAGTACACGCCAGTTCAACGCCTCATTTCATAATTCACCTCACGGTCAAAATAACAGCTCTGTTAATTTATCATCACCGGCGGTGATTTCGACCATAATTGGAGGCGTTAATAGCATAGACCGACCATTTTATATCCGCATTGTAAACACTGGTAATTACGAGTTCTGCGGTGGATCGATTGTAAATAGTTTTTGGATTATCACAGCTGCTAGTTGTGTTTATGAATATACAGGTAAGTTTCAATTTTTTTTACAGTTTGAGTTGACCAAAATCTCTGTCGTAAAACTTTCTCATAACAACCTCACAACCTCCTCACAACAAAAAAACTTGGCTCTCAGAAGGTTTTCAAGAAAAGGACTTATTTCTTAAAAAAATCTGTAAAATTCGAAAATTTCGTTAAAAAAAGTTGCAAGGCAGGATCGGTTTTTATAATAAAGTTCCACGATGGGAGCGTGTCCTACAAAAACTTCTAAAAATTTAATTGAATAAATTGAAAAAAAAAATGTTTCAAAGTCAGAAACAACTTAAGTTCTCCGCTGTTGACCGGTTTGACAAAAAATGCGTGTCATACAATTTCATACTATGAAAAAAAGCTTATCATAATATTTCATAGACCAAAAAATTAATTTGCAAATAGAATGATAAGCGTTTTTTTCCAAACTATGAAATTTTAAAACAAGCAATATTTGCCACATTTGAGAATTAAATAGCAAGTTATGCCATACTTTTTAGCTTTTAGCTCAGATTTTATCAAAGATTTTTTGAAAATAGCAAAAGCAATTTTTGTCAAATAAAAGAAAAGAAATCTCATTGGCAAATTTCTATATAAATTGCCTCTTCGCTTTACCAAATCAAGTGCATTTTGCTCAATCACTAGCTAAAGTTTCCGAAAGCTGTATCGAAACACGTCCGTATCCATACCGGATTTGGTTTAAAAATTATTGCTTAAATCGCCTATAACTAAATTTCAACCGTTAAACATATGTAAGTCCTGTTTAAACGTTCTGATCTAGTTTCATAAGTTAATGAAACGCGGTCAAAATATTATTGGCAAATTTTAATTATTTGTTTAGTTTTCAGTAGTTTAGTGGGAAAATGTTGCTACCTTAAAAACAAAGTTGCAGGACTTGTGATTCAATTTTGGTTCCCTAAATTTTTCGTCTCCTAAAAATTCATTTGATGTTTTTTATGGATAATCACTTGCCTGAAAAACAATGGCTGGTTAGCTGTAAAAGTAAATATTTACAAACTTTGTGTACAAAGTTTGGAATAGGTTCTTGTAAAATTGGGATCAATTTTGTAAGATTCAACCCAGGCGTCTACTATGAATAGTAACATGTGTGTGACTTTGAAATTGCATTTCATCATTAATGAAGTAACAACAGCTGCCAAAAACAGTTCACACATGATAGTTGCTTCCTTTAATTTTTCTTAAAGATGAGAAAAATTAGGGCCTTCAAATTATCCATGCTTGGTTTTACGGGTAATCAACTATCATCTTTGCACTAAGTTCATAAAAGTTTTATCCTTAGCAAAAGTATAGAGCTTAAACAATATATGAAATTTGTTTTGATAACTTAAGCTTATTTTTTCATCGATTCGGCCATTCTGTAGTTATAACATTGCTAAGATCCACGTTTTCCGCTGTTTTATGAGGAGAATGAAAACTTGGAATACTGGTTTTCTTTGTTCCGACCACTGAAAATGCACTCAAATAAAGGTAAAGTTACCTTAAGTCACCACTCAAGGTAAGTGGTTGTTAAGGAAAAATTTACCTCAATTCTACCTTAAAATTTCTTAAAGTAAAACCTTCACTTTAAAAATAAAGGAAACTTAAGATAAATTCAGATAAACTAACACTTGAGGTGAAACTAACACTTGAGTTTTTAATGTGAAGTTGAAATGAGGTAAAAGATAATAGTTCAGTTGGCTTGAGGTAGTTTTGGTAAGCTTGGGGTGACTGGAGGTAAAATTTAAGTTAGTTCCCCCACAAGCTGTAAGGTAAACTTGAGGTGGGTTAAGGTAGTAGTTGGGGTGGTTTGAGGGAAGGTTAAGGTGAGCACTTTTTGCCTTAACTGCTGAGTTATGTTTTAAGGTAAATTTACGTCAATCTTTTTTAGAATATGGGCAGAAACTTATCGTCCGTTGTGTTTAGTGTCTACTTTTTTATGCAAAGTCTGGTACCACAATTAGATTTGCTCCAGTTTCATATTACATTGAAGAACTTTTAGTCGTGATTCCAACAAAGTTGAAAAAAAAAATCTGAAAACTTTTTTCAGTATTAAAAATAACCGGTTTAATTGGTTCCTGGTCTTCAGTCTGTTTCCTAGCAAGTAGCGTTTCCTAAACAAAACTAGGTTTTTTAAGCTATAAATAATTAGTTTTATCAAAAAAATGTTTGAACGTAAATGTAGCGCTTCCCTGGCACCTAAAAGTGAAAAGTTAAACAAATATATACTGTGTAGAAACATCAAAAACTTTTTAGAATGTTTTTTTTTTGTTTTTTTTTATGTATGTTTCTGTTAAGTAAGGCTAATGCTAGTGTCATAATCGTTCTCTTAGATCATCTCCTCTATCACGCGCAGCAAGGCGGTCAATTGTATAAAAAAACGATATTTGCACAAAAAGGGTCACTACTGTTTCTGTTTTGGGAATATTTTCTTGCATCATTTAACTGGGGTGGTTTTTTATAATTTACTTTTCAGTTTGCTTTTTACTTTATTTTTTGATTTCTGTTCATAGTTTGTCGCCTAATCGAAATCTAGTAATTGAAAATTTGAAAGAAACAAGCTAGAAACTCAGTCAGTTGTGGAGTTTGCTAATGAAGTCGATTAGCTGAGAAATGTTTCAGCTGCTTTTTTTGTCTTGAAATTTGCCCCTTTTCATTATCAAAGGTTTCTTGAGACAAGTAACTCTTATATTGTAGTCTTCAAGAAACTACAGTAAACTCTACTATTGACTGTCAACAGAAAGATGTTATTATCATTTTTTCAATAAAACTCTTTTTTTTTTTGAAATTTTAGAAGATTATTTGCTGGTCGAGACTGGAGATTTCACCCGTGGAGACGACGACACAGAATCCTATCATGTCGAAAAAGTTTTCCTTGCTGACGGGTTAGTTTTGTTTTATGCAAACTGGCGAAATTCAAACGTTTTGTGCAGATAGTTAGAGTTGGTATCCAGGCTTTGCCAAAATTGTCATAGCAGAACTGTATTTTTTAGTCACTGCAGAACATTTTGATTGTTCCTCTCCAATAAAAAATACTGTTTTTTAATGACAATTTAAGCAAAAAAGGATAAGATAATAAACAATTTTTTTTCTAAATGTCTGCAAAAACTATCTGTTTTAGCAGTCAAAAATTAACAGTCAGTCAACAATCGTTCAAAAAAACTTGTCAGTCGAACTCTCGAACTTTTTTTTGTTCAAACTTGGTCGAATTTTTCGGTTGAGCGAAGTCGAAACAAATAGCGGCGGAAATGGAATAAAACGGCGGAATAAAGTGTTAATGAATAGCAAAAACGATAAGAACTTTTCTCACTAAATGCGAGTCATACAGAGCTTTTGTAGATTCAAATTAGAATTTTTAATCCGTTACTTTGACTAAATTTGGTTCCAGTGCTATATTTAACTGCATGTATCTGATATTCTTTGTCCAAAGTGATTGTTATAAAAAATCTCTACAACTTTGCAGTAGAGTTGATTCCTACAGCTTAGCTTTTTTGGCATTTCATATTTTAGGTTTTAAACCTAATGGTCATTTGAACTCAGAAACTTATACGAACTGCCGTTCATATTTGATACATGATGTTGCTAAATGCTAGTTAGGTTGACCTTTTAGTGTGAACATGGGCATCGTTCATGTATGCACGAAGAAACAGATGCAATTGCAACAAAGACAGTCGGTAGCAGTGAGGAGTATCTAAGAAAGTTCGGACCACAACCGGGGCGGATTTGGGGCGGGGGGCGGGGGGTGGGGGCTGACGTTTTTTTCTTCTCAGGGATTTGACCCCTGAAGACCCAAAGGGTCAACCCTTTGGTACTTTTCAAGAAATCCATTTTGGCTGACAGACCCTAAATTTTTTCTAAAAGTGCTTTGGGCTCCAATATATGCTAATTTTGAGTGGGAGCGCGCGCAAAAAAAAGCCGGTTTTTCAGTCAAAAGTTTCCAAAAAGTGCCCAAAAACTGCATTTTAATGTTTTTTTTTCGTCAAAAATTTGATTCCTGAGCAAATCGTCACAAGATGGGTGAAAAAGCTAACCTAAAGCTCTCAGATACCCAGTTTGTAAAATATTTTCTTCTCGTGTCCATGTTTTTTTATAAACAGATGGTAGAGTGTCAATGATCAAATTGGCACAATTTTTGAAAAATCTTACGATGAAAAAAGTCTTCTCAAACCAGCCACCCCACCACTTGTATGCTCCATTATTTAATTGAGTTTCATGTCTCCTTATCGCTGGCCTAAGCGAAAGGCTCTTGCAATTCAGACTTTCAAAGTGTGGCTAAACTTCAACATTCGTCGGATCTTGTTATTATTCCCCCCCCCCCCTTGCAATAGGGGGGAAATAGTTAAAAACGGTACAAAATTGGTATAAGCTTAACTGTTCAGTTCTTTCTCTATAAGGGGGGATTCGTTGCAAGGTACCGTAGGGGGCGCGGGGAAATAGTTAACAAGATCCAAAATTTCAGTCAACAGTTCTGCCGAGATGTTTAATACTTCATTTGGTCTCGGAATATCTCTCGGAAAATCACCGATAAAGCGCAACAGCAAATTTGATATTCAAAAAATTTGTGTTTCTACAAGCACAATTCGAAGGTACCTCTTGAATACTCATTTACTCATGAATACTAGCAAGAAATGAGCAGCAAGAAGTGCCGAGTTGCTCAAACAGAAACCGTGTTCTCGTTAAGAAAGAAAGGTCAGCATATTTGTTGAACTTTTTCAGACGCTAACTCGAATTCTTGCGCATAGTGTGCTCAATAATGGCAGCAACATAAATTCTTTCTTCGTTTCGACCAGTTCCTCAAATTTTTTCAATCCGATTTTAATTTGAGGTTTCTAGATTATTTTCTGCTCAGTTTGAACTAATCTCAAGTCGACTGCATCAAATAACAAATTTTTCAACCAAGTGTTAACATAGTGTCTTGGATATTATTCAATTTGATAACGGTAATAACTGCCTTGTTTGATAACGGTGATATCTCCAGAGCAAAGAGGAAGTTCCAGACGGGCTCTCTCAATGTCGCAGGGGAGTTTTTGACCTGTAAGCTCTGGAAAAAACGGTTTATAAATAAAATCAAATGACTCATAAAGTTCGTCTTAAGCTCTTGTTGGCTCCAATATAAAAATCGTTAAATCAACTTAGCGATGAAATGTGAGCGAATGTTACCTAAAACAGTGTGGATTATGCTCAGAGGCTTCTATGTTTGTTTTTTAGTTTTTTCATTGGATGGTTAAAAGTTAGGAGAACACACATTGCTCTTCCACGATTTTCTAACGTCTTCATGTAATCAGGCTTGCTTTGAAAATCGCTTCTAATAAATCTGTTCTAAGGCTCGGTCCGCTAAAGTTTGTTTCATCTTCATTTTTTTCACTGATTATGAGGTTTTAGATGGTAGGTCAGTAAACCGATGTATCAGCAACCCGAAAAACACAGAGGCCAGATCAGTAAACCAAAAATGAGATTACTTGATCAGTAAACCGAAAATGGTCAAAAAGGCGTTCAGTAAACCAAAATTGTTTTTTTTTCTAAGTAACAACGTTTTAAAAGTAACGTTTTTTAAGTTAAGCTTACCAGCAATTAAGCGCAGCATTGTTGTATGTAAATTTAGTTACGCAGCTAAGAAATTGAAATATTTCAGTAAATCTTAAGAAAAAATTTTTCATTTGATTCCTTGATGCATTTTTTTAAGCTGAGTTTGTTCTCATTTTAACGCAACCGGTTACGCAAATGTTAAGTAACTGTTAAATAATTGTTTCCCATTTTGATTTACTGATATGGTACTTTCCTGATAGGTCGATTTACTGAACGCACACCAAGGTTTTGAATGAAGTCTGAATTTTCAATGAAACTAACTGAGCTCACGGAAAATTGTCGAGTAGTTGTGGAAAAAACTCCGAAATCAAGCTAACCTTTAACCTATCAAATGTACCAAAATTTGGAAAAACTGTTTTTGTTCAAGCTGTAGTTGCAGTTGCACAACATTTATGGGATCTACTAAAGATTCTCTAGCCCTTTAAAGAAATACAGTAAATTAGCACTAAAGCTTGTATTGAGAATTCGAGTTTTGCTGCATTAGGATTGGTCGAAAATTCAACTAACGTTATCTACTTGACAATCTTGCCCTTTCTTGAAAGGGGAGGGAAACTGTTTATTAGATCCCATTTCTGAAGTAAATCAACTACGAAAAATGTAAAAAAGCAAAAAATGGTGAATGCCAGAGACTTCTATAATTTCATTGTTTTTCAGCTGTGTTTTTGAATAGCGCTTAAGTATGCTTGCTCGGAAACTCTTTGATGCTGATAGGTCTGTTGATAGGTCTCAACTCGTAATGATATTTTTTGATTGCAAATTTGTTCAAAATTAAAAGAAAACTTTTAGATCTCTATGACTGTTCCCCCCCCCCCCTTGCAAAAGGGGGGATTCGTTACTAGGTACAAAATTTAAATATGCTCAACAATTGAGTTATTTCGTTAAAGGGGTGGCAATTCGTTACTAGGTACCCTAGGGGAGAGATATAGTTAAACAGATCCCTCCTTCTTTAACATCTACTTTTTGGAAGGGGGCCTAGGAGATTAGACGACCGTAAAGAAATGGAATTTACGGACAATCAGTATTTTCTCAGCAAAAGATAATTTAAGTCTGCAAACAAGTTTCAAGCAATTTGCACGCAAGTTATTGTCTAAATTCCGTTATTTTCTGATCGTCTAATTCCCTGTCGTCTAAGTTCCTAAATGCCTTTGGAAGGCTTGAGACGCGTTTTCGAATAACTTTAGAGTCGATTCTCCAAAAATGAACGTCAAAAAATAGGTTCAAAGGAGAACCCGTTGGACCAGCCAATAGATGTCGAACTCCCGACAACGAACATCCACCCTCCCTAATTTCTCCCCCGATTGAAAACACCCTCTTAAAATACTTCCAATTAAATGTATTGAACAAACAAAATATTTCAGCTTCTCAATGCGTGAGCTAGTGAACAACCTGGCGCTTCTTAAACTGTCCATTCCGATGCCCATTCGGCTGTTCGGACAGTTACCCGTTTGCACGAAAGAGAAGCCACACGGCACACGTCTCGGCTCATGTGGCATGGGAGCAGATGAAATGATGTCAGATCACGGATTCAATTTCCCCTACAGGTAAAGAGAAGGTCACGTAGCAGTATTTAGACAACCGCGTATTCATACTCGTCAGTAAGCAGACAAATACTATATTAACCAATCAAAATCGATACAAGGCAGAAATAAATAGTTAATACTTATTTATTTCGTAAGTTTGATTTCTCATCTCGATTCTGATTGGTTAATGTAGTATTTGTCTGCTTGCTGGCGAGTACGTATACGCGGATGTCTAAATAAGACCGCACTTTGAAGTGGAAGTGGTTAAAAGGGGGGCTATTCTATGGGGTGAAGGACCGAATGCGCAAAAGCTCTCAACCCATCAACGCCTTTCAAACTGTCCAAAAGTTTATGAATACTGAGTTCTGATTAGCTGACGTAATTTTAGCTCATTCGGTCCTTCGCGCATGAGGGATTCCCCCGGTTAAAAATCCATAACATAAAATAGGGGCGTCCCTTTTGCACGCAGAAGCGATTGGGCAAAAGTTCTGTCAGCCAATCAGAATGAATCATTTATAACTTCGAAGGAAATAGAAATAAGCGATAAAATTAGTCAGTTTAGGACAAAGCTAAAGGGTTTTGATTGAATGAGAAATTTCGCGCATTCGATGAGAATAGCCCATATCAAATATTGACATTTATTCTAGGCTTAAGAAACAACGGCTTGAAAGAGTCGCTAAAAAGATTCTATGCAAAAATATAAAATGTGGGAAATTAATTCAAAATGGGGCATCCTTTTCCTTAAAAGCATTTGATATACTTGCTGGGGTTCCCCGAAACAAATTTGAAAAAAAGGAGTAGCGGATCAAGTACTAAATTTATAAAGATTTCATTTTTGAGAACAAGAAGAGAAAAAATTGTCTGTAAACTATCTGTGATCTTCAATATTTGAGCGTCGGTTTTTAGACAGCAAGTTAAAATCATATACGAGGAAAAAATCAAGACAAAATTGAGAAAAAGAAGTAAAAAAATTCCAAAACGAGAAAAAATGAGAAATTGTCCATTTTCAAAAAAAACATGCAAGCTTAAAAAATGGTCTCGAACAATCCGTTTTTGTAAATGAAAATTATTTTCATTTCACTTCCATATATTAGTTCATAGTTTCTATCAACGAAGATTTTTGGGGAAAAAAAACAAAGTTAGAAAAAAAAGAACATATAGAGAATGTTTTTTCACTCGCTTCTACTTTTTTCTGCAGGCTTCAAGAAACTTATTTCACTGAAGTCAAATTTGTCAGTTCTGGTCCATTCAACTTAGACTGGTGTCGCGAAGACAACGTCTGCACAGAACCAGTTTTGGAAGACTCAAGTTCGTGTTTTTACGACGAAGGGAATCCGCTTTACTTATTTCATTGTGAAACGCGAGTTCCTTATTGTCTTTACGGCGTTGGAAGTTACACCCTTCATAAAAGGTCTCTCTTCCAGTTTCCCACCCTTTGCTAAAATTGTAACATAAAGATGTCTAGAAACTGTTCATTCGGCAAATTGCGTGTTAGAGATGTTGTTCAAATCTGTTCACTTGTTCACGCTGACATTTTTTGTTCCGACTTTCAAAGAAAGTGAGAATTACATATGCCTGGGGTGGTTTTTTTGAAATCAGACGGATTTTACAAAAGTTGACAGCGTATGGGTATCGATCCGGAAATTTAGGGATTAGCCAAGCGAGTATTTTTGCACTAAAATCGCTGCTCCAATAATACTTTGATAGTTTTAATACGCACGGTATCTATACGTAGAAAATTATCCGCACTCATAATCGTTCCAAATTGAATTAAGGCCTACTACAGTGCTGATTTAAATGAACAAAATTGGAAATTGGATTAAAATTAGACAAAATAAAGAAGCGAACAAAACTTGCCTAGAAATTCACCAGAGTTAATGTAATGCAAATTTCTTTGCAAAATCCAAAACCAAAAATTTATCTCAAAAAACAATCATTTTTGCTTTTTTTCAGTTAGTCAAGAAATATGCTTTAGCTAACGAGTTAATTAATAAAACATTTATAAATCAAAAAGCGTCTTACACAACCCAACAAATTCCTAGAAAGGTAAAACATCGAAAATTTTGCGTAAAACGTTTGAATTTTGTTTTTACACACAGATTTTGAGTTTTATATAGTAAACAAGACTGCTCGCATCAGAGCGAGGACCTGAATGTTTTAAAGGTTTTAAAGAGCAGTAAAAACACGAAAAAATTAAATGTAATAAAAAAATGAAAATTTTTTTTTTTCTTAAGTTTGAGATTTTTCGTGAAAATCATCCCCCCAAACGCCATATTAAGTACAAAAAGATAGATTTAGCTCATTGTAACAAATCAAAGATGGCAAATACGTTTCTTCCAACTAATTTGGACAGATTTTTAAGACGGATTAAATCTCCGCTTATGCGTTAATAGCTCGAAATATATCGCGCGTTAATTGTCCCAAATTGGCCAAACTGGCAATTTTTAAACCCATAACCTTACAAAATATGATCCCAGGTGAAATTTTTTAAGCTCAGTCAAGCTTTTAAGCTCAGTCAAAAATGGCTTGTTGAAAAGTCGAAAATTGTCTGAAGAAAAAAAACCCACCCCGTGCACAAATATTTCGTTACTTTCGTTACGAAATTCGGAACAAAAAGATCTTTTATGGCTATTAGGCAAAATTATATTCTTTTAAACTGTTTTTTGGATATTTTAACCTTCTAAAAATTTGATGCTCTGTGTAAGAGGCTTCTTGCATTATAAATTTCTTGTCAATTAACTCGTTAGCTTAAATGTTTTTATTGATTAACTAAAAAAAGACAAAATGACCTGTGAAAGAACTTTGCAAACCAACGTTCATCATTTTATTTCTAATAAAATTTTAACTAATTTTTGTTATGTTTACTTTTTTTCTAATCTTAGCCCAATTTGAAAAAAAAAACATTTTAAAGTTTTCAATGTTTTTAGTTTTGTTCGGTTAATATAAATCAGCTCTGTTTAATTGGTCATATGAATTCTACTCAAATGTTAGCGGTTGCATTTATTATTTGCAGATGAAACTTTTATAGTCTATCAAAAAATTCTGATCAAAAACTATTCGAGACCAGTTAAGGGCAGTCGGAACATTCAGGGCTTTGCCCTGATATACAATCAGTCTTGTTTTTGTTTTATAGCATCTAGTAATTTGGGATCCCTTCTTCATCTCCTATGAGCATGCGTGTTATGGTGTAACACGTAGTTTCCTAGGTTAATTATGAAAACCAAATCTATTCGGAGTAACTGAAATAGTCTTTATGCTAATTTTGTAGTAATCAGATTTTGTCGGGAAAATTTTTACAATAAAAAACTCGCAGATGCGAGGGTAAATCAAAAAGAGACGTAATTTGCAGAATCAGACTTCGATGAAAAATGAGGGGGGCTGGAAAAGAGACCTTTACAGGAATCGACAGAGATTGAGATGCAATGGCGGAAGTTTCTTCACGAACGTGCCGCATTTCTACCAGTGGATTGTCAATATTATAAGCCATAACTGACTCATAAAAAAGTGCATATTTAGATCTCGTTTTCGCTATAACTACACCTCCCCCCACCCCCAATGGGACCCAGTAATGATGTTCACCCTTTTAAGGATGAAATCTAACTTGTAACTAAATCTAACTTAAATCTAATTTTGTACCTAAATTCTCTCATCTCTCCTTAAGTAGTGGGGTGGCAGGGGTGTTATAGCAGGGGGCGGGGTGACAGGGTTACATGTTAAATATATAGATCCGTAGTTTTAAAAAGCCGATGAAATTTAAATTGAATTAATTTTAATTCACGCGAGATTGACATTCATCATTGGAAGCTTAATGTTTGATGTGCCGTTTTCTGAAACACCAGTATCATACCACCTTGAAAGCTACTCCTGTCATTGCCATGGTTCATGGTTATTCAAATTAAACTTAAGTAATCTGTGTGAAGTTATGAGTTGTGACTTTACTTTGATGTAGATAGATTGTATTATGACGCTAAAGTCATAACCAGCATGCATGTGATCAGCCTTGTTGTTCCGATTTTCGAAGAAAACGGAATATTTATACTTGGTGTGGTTTTTTATGCAGTCAAATTATGGTGATCGAAATTTTGTGCAAAAATTGGGAGTTTGAAAACTTTCAATTTATCCATTATGCTGAAGCGCTGAGCCTAAAAATTGTTTATGCTCCATTGAAGATATCGACTCACTAAAATCAAATTTAGAAAAACCTTACCTCCAATCATTTTTTGCGAAATTTTGGGAGTTTGAAAATTGCCAACTTATCAATTATTCTGAAGCGTAACGCAAATTATTTATGCGTGGCGAATTATCTCACAGAACAAAATTGTTCCAAATTGTTCCAGGCTTGCTAATCGGTCATATTAATTTCGTACGGCTCAAATTTCCACACTGGATTTTTGATATTGTCCAAAAATGTTAGCTTTTAAATACTTTCTTTTCCAAAAATCTATTCGATATGGATTAGGGGCAGTCGGAAAATTCAGGCTGTGCCATGTGATACAAACAGTCTTGTTTGGCTCATGATTTGTTCTAAAATTTTGTTACTTATTATTGTGATTTTAAATAAAAGCATGATTTTACGCTGTTGTTAAATCTGTATTAGAGGGGACCGATCGTTTAGCACCAGTCACTTAGCATAAAAACTAAAATATGGGGCTTTTAGCATACTTTGATTAACAAGCATTTAGCTGAGGCATTTAGCAGTAAGATTGGGCTGAGCACCGTTATTTCACGCTTTGTCAACAAAATTGCACTCATTTTAAACATATTTAAAGCATATTTTCAATTCAATCTCGATGAATTTCTCAAAAAATCTAAGCGAAAATTGGCGAAAAATCTAATATGCGATCATTTTGATTCGAAAAAATATAAAAAAGGATTAATTCAATATTATAAATGTGTTGGTTGTTATTGGGGATCTAGACTTTCGTTTGATTCACAGAAAAATATCATTATAAATTTGTCTTCAAGCAATAATTATTTACCGCCCCTAGATGAAATAACTGATCGGAATTTTCGAGAAAAACGCAGGAAAAAACTTGAAACCGATCCTAAAAATCTAAAAAGCCTGTATCAAAACAAGTTGCAGGATTTTTCCAACGAATTGCAGAACGAGGACGGAAAAATTTTTTTCTTCCAAGTTACGAAACGTTTCAAGCAATGACCCGAAAACGAATCAAAGTTCTGCCAAATGCTTCAAAGTTTTTCTTGGGTATCAAAATTGTTCTTCTATGCTGTATGACATTCAGCAACAACCGATTCTTACAATATCATGAAAATAAATTTTCTTGCTCATTATCAAAAAATTGACTTGCTTAAGGAACTTTTAAAACGGCTTCGTCTAATTTTCACCAAATTAAAACCATAATTGGGTCATCGAAAGAATGGAAAGTTCCAGTTGTTTTGGCCCTACTTGGCAAAAAACTGAAGAAAATTACCAAAACTTTTCTGCAATTTTGCGCCAAAAATTGAAGAAGTTTCGGGAATTTCTTTCTTGCTCGAAAACATTATCACAGACTACGAGACTGGTGTCATACCAACTATTCGAAAAACTATTTTTGTCTCGCAACATTCTGGTTGCTGGTTCTAATACTCTCTGTGCGTTTCGAAAATTTTTTAATTTGTCGTTGTTGCTACCTGCCGAACTCACTATGATGCTAGTAACTTGTCAAGGAGGAATTTAAGTATTTGGGGAAATTTTTTTTGACTATCTTTGGAGTTTTTGGATTTTGCGACCAATTCCAATCGCAATGTGGAGCGTTTTCGATCGACCTGTTGACATTAGACCTACAAGTTTTGCAAAAGATAAGAACGAGGCTGGAAAAAACAGCAGGTACTTTCAGGTGAACATTTTGGAAAGTTTTGAGAAAATTATCGCGTGAGGAAATGCAGTTTCCTCTACATATAGGACGTGTGAGTTGAGCGGAATGCCCGCCTTTGAAAAAACAAAATTTTCGAAACATGGATTGGAAACTTTGAGGCTTAAGAGTTTATTTTATGGCAGAAACGTATCAAAGTTCAAGTTTTGGGACGGTATAGCCTTAAATTGTCAAAAAAACTCTAGGAAAAACTCGTTTTAATGGACTCATTTCTGTTCAGCTTGTTACTTCCGTTGAATACTGTTAATATGCATTCATAAAATTCAAAAAATTGCGATTTTGAGCCTTTTAATCCAAAATAATATTGGACATTTTAATAGATTGGTCAATTTTAAGTCTGCTAAAATCCCTTGCACCTGTATTAGAACAGCGCGTAAGCAAACATATGTATAGACACTGCTATCAATCGCCTAGTTTGAGTGGGTTGCTAGACAACATCGCGTTGGCTTCAAAGAGAACACCAGCCAACCGGGTGGGTGTGATTCTAAAAAACTGACCTGGAATACTTATAATCGCAAATGAAGCTAAGTCGATTGTGTAACTTAACGATATAAACAATCTATTGACTGCAAGTTAGGAAGAAAACAGTGAAAGCCTAGAAGCAGTAAGTGAATAGGGTAAAACCACAAAAAGAAACATGTGTAGGTTTTCTGCTAAAAAAAAGAAAGGCTGATTGTGAACAAAGAAAATTCGCGCCATTTAAAAACATGAAGAAAACGGAAAATTATGTTGCTTTAAGGCCATTGATTGGTTCGATACGCCAGTTTACGCAAATTATACCAAACTTATCGAGGAATATAGAACATTTTGCTAATTGATACATCAACACACAAAATTCAAATGAGGGTAAGAGCATCACGAAAAAGCGTTTTATGTGACAAAACGTAACGTGCGAGAGTTCAGTCAAAATCACTTCTGCAGTCGGAAAATTCAGGGCTGTGCCATGTGATACGAACAGTCTTGTTTGGCTCATGATTTGTTCTAAAATTTCAATATTTATTGTTGTGATTTTAAATAAAAGCATAATTTTACGCTGTTTTAGTTGAAATTCAAGCGAGTAAAGCAGTGAGCATGCTTACTATAAAATTCAATGTATCAAACTTTATATCAATCATAAACTCAAAATAAATTGGTTTCGAATGGTGCAAGGAAAAGTTTTTCGTTGCTTGTTCACAGTTGTCATCCTGTGTTTTTATCTTCAAACATCTCATATTCTTCGAAATAATATGCTGTTGTTAAATCTATTTTACGCTGTTGTTAAAATATGATTTTACGCTGCTGTTAAATCTGTATCAGAGGGGACCGATCGTTTAGCAGACCAATCACTTAGCATAAAAACTAAAAAAAATGGGGCTTTTAGCATACTTTGATTTACAAGCATTTAGCTGAGGCATTTAGCAGTAAGACAAGATTGGGTTGAGTATCGTTATTTTACGCTTTGTCAACAAAATTGCACTCATTTTAAAGATATTTAAATCATATTTTCAGTTCAATCTCAATGAATTTCTCAAAAAATCTAAGCAAAAATTGGTGGAAAACCTAATATGCGATAATTTTGATTCGGAAAAATAGAAAAAAGGATTTATTCAATATTATAAATGTGTTGCAGTCGTTGGGGATATAGACTTTCGTTTGATTAACAGAAAAATATCATTATAAATTTGTCTCCTAGCAATATTTATTTACCGCCCCGTAGATGAAATAACTGATCGGAATTTTCACGAAAAACGCAGAAAAAACTTGAAACCGATCCTAAAAGTCTAAAAAGCCTGTATCAAAACAACTTGCAGAATTTTTCCAACGAATTGCAGAACGAGGATGAAAAAATTGTTTTTTCTCCCAAGTTACGAAAATTTCCAAGATATGACCCGAAAACAAATCAAAGTTCTGCCAAATGCTTTCAAAGTTTTTCTCGGGTATCAAAATTGTTCTTCTATGCTGTGTGACATTTAGCAAAAACCGATTCTGAAACAATATCATGAAAATAAATTTTCTTGCTCGTTATCAAAAAATTGACTTGCTTAAGAAACTTTTAAAACGGCTTCGCCTCAATTTGACCAAATTAAAACCATAATTGGGTCATCGAAAGAATGGAAAGTTCCAGTTGTTTTGACCCTACTTGGCCAAAAACTGAAGAAAATTACCAAAATTTTTCTGAAATTTAGCGCCAAAAACTGAAGAAGTTTCGGGAATTTCTTTCTTGCTCGAAAGCATTATCCCACACTACGAGACTCCAACTATTCGAAAAAAAAATTTTGTCTCGCCACATTCTGGTTGCTGGTTCTAATACTCTCTGTGCGTTTCGAAATTTTTTTATTTTGTCGTTCTTGCCACCTGGCGAACTAACTATGATGCTAGTAACTTGTCAAGGAGGAATTTAAGTATTTGGGGAAATTTTTTTTGACTATCCTTGGAGTGTTTGGATTTTGCGACCAATTCCAATGGCAATGTGACACGTTTTCGATCGACCTCTTGACATTAGACCTACGAAATTTTGCAAAAGATAAGAACGAGGCTGGAAAAAACAGCAGGTACTTTTAGGTGAACATTTTGGTAAGTTTTGAGAAAATTATCGCGTGAGGAAATGCAGTTTCTTCTACATATAGGACGTGTGAGTTGAGCGGAATGCCCGCCTTTGAAAAAACAAAATTTTCGAAACGTGGATTGAAAACTTTGAGGCTTAAGAGTTTATTTCATGGCAGAAACGTATCAAAGTTCAAGTTTTGGGACGGTATAGCCTTAAATTGTCAAAAAAACTCCAGGAAAAACTCGTTTTAATGGACTCATTTCTGTTCAGCTTGTTACTTCCGTTGAATACTGTTAATATGCATTCATAAAATTCAAAAAATTGCGATTTTCAGCCTTTTAATCCGAAATAATATTGGACATTTTAATAGATTGGTCAATTTTAAGTCTGCTAAAAAACCGGTCTGCTAAAGAACCCGTCAGCTAAAATCCCTTGCACCTGTATTAGAACAGCGCGTAAACAAACTTATGTATAGACACTGCTATCAATCGCCTAGTTTGAGTGGGTTGCTAGACAACATCGCGTTGGCTTCAAAGAGAACACCAGCCAACCGGGTGGGTGTGATTCTAAAAAACTGACCTGGAATACTTATAATCGCAAATGAAGCTAAGTCGATTGTGTAACTTAACGATATAAACAATCTATTGACTGCAAGTTAGGAAGAAAACAGTGAAAGCCTAGAAGCAGTAAGTGAATAGGGTAAAACCACAAAAAGAAACATGTGTAGGTTTTCTTCTAAATAAACAGAAAGGTTGGCCGTGAACAAAGAAAATTCGAGCCGTTTAAAAACATGAAGAAAACCGAAATGTTGTTTTAAGGCCATTGATTGGTTCGATACACCAGTTTACGCAAATTATACCAAATTCAGCGAGGAATAGAGAACCTTTTGCAAATTGATACAGCAACGCATAAAATTCAAATGAGGGTAAGAGCATCACGAAAAAGCGTTTTATGTGATGAAATGTACCGAGCGAGAGCTCAGTCAAAATGACTTCTATGACTCGGGTAAATTGTGATGCATCGCGAGTTGATTTGGGAGCAATCTTTGAGCAAATATGGAGAAAACTGGATCACAAAATCGGATGCAACAGTTTTTGAACGAGACGAAAAAGAAAAACAGTCATTGAGTTGTAGTAATTGGCAGTGGTAAGAGCAATAACGGACTAAAAAAGTACTAGTTGAGATCTTCAAAAAATAGTAAAGAATCATGATTGGTTGTTGTCTTTGTTTTAGCAGAAAACTCAAAAACAATCCAGAAGCAAAGAGTGATATAAGTTTACTTTGATTTGACAACGAAACCAAACACATTACGGAAAAATTATAGTCATACTCATCTAGTAACCCGGTTAAAAATTAACACCCCGTTATCGCCCCGGGTGAAAGGAGCAAGCGGGGTGCATATGTAAAAAAAACTAACCTTATTTGTACAAAAGTTATGAGCAGTGTTTAATTTTGCTGGAGGAAGAATGTAGTGAAGTTATGATTAATGACCTACCTTTGATGCAGATAGTTATTTTTATAACGCTTAAGTTGTAACCGACATGTGTATGGTCAGCCTTGCTCGACTATTGATTCAGTATGAAAATTGTATGCTTAGCATTTTTCCATACATTTGATGCAGGCAATTGTATGATAAGCTTTTTCGGTGTGGGAAAATTTAAAATAAGCATTTTCGGTTTAAGGATGTCAAACCGGGGTCACATTACCTTTCCAGGCCTTTTCGTTGGTTTTAATCGGTTTTTTTTATAAGACCGCTCAAAAACCGCTCAAAAACCGCTCAAAAACCGCTCAAATCTTGCTTGAAAAACCGTTCAAAAATCACCGCAAGAAATGAGCGGTTTTTTCAGCAAGATATGAGCGGTTTGAGCGGTTTTTCCAAAAAAACCTCCCAAACCGCTCAAACCGCTCAAATCTTGCTGAAAAACCGCTCAAACCGCTCATATTTTGAGCGGTTTTTGAGCGGGATCTCGACCCGGGTACTGTTATGGTTCTTTTTTAGTGTTCAAGTTTTATGCTTTGGTTAACATGTTGATTTTGGAGTTCAAGTTTTATTTTAGACTTTTTCTTTTCAAAAACGTGTCCAGAGTTGGAACCGGGCTCGGGATTTTTACAGGCCGGGCTGGGCTCGGGCTTCATTTTTAGGATCACTAACCGGGCCTGGCCGGGCCGGGCCCGGACCCGAACCTGACTTTCAAAAGAGTTCACACCTTTCACTTTTCACTTCACGCCTTTTGAAACTTCATTTCACAATTGCTGGGGATTCCGTTGAGGCAAAAATCAGCCAACTCGAACTACTAAGATCAGCTGCAGCCAATGGATTTATTGCTCCGATCATAAAAATGGGGAGGAGCTCTATATTCGGGTGTGTTTTAGCTTTTTTTTTGTTTTTCACACAAAATCAGCTACCACAAATAATTATAGGACTGTGTTGAGTGTCATGTCATATTAAAACATTTTCAGTAGTGCTTTTCTCAGTGCCGAGAAAAAGCTTTTCCCAAGTTTTTTCCCAATGTCGAGAAGAACCGGTTTGAAATTTTTGAGTTTTTCGTCGAATTTCGAGCGAGTGAACAGGCTTACATTAGCTTATTTATGCTTAACTTAAGTTTAGTTTACTCAAGTGTGTTTAATAAAATGAAGTTAAGTTTTGGAGTTTTTAGCTTCATCATAGGAATCAAAAATTTTGGAAAAAAAATTACAAAAAATAATGAAAAAAAAATTTCAATTTTTTAAAATTTTTGTTTGTTTTTCTTGTTATTTGTCTTTACCCTTGCAATAGCAAGGGTTTTGCAATCGGGTACTCTTTTCCGGTAAACAATTTTGTCTTAATGAATTTATTCTAGTGTACTTCTGGACTCACCTCCAGAGGTAACTTCCCGGCGTACTTCAAATTCTTAGCGTTCCCGTCCAACTTCGCCTGGAGGCAACAATTTTGGCTGGTCTGACAAAAGTCCTGGGCTTGAATCTGACCGAAATTTGTTTTTTTTTCACACGGAAAAATATTTGTTTCAAAAAAAATTGTCGGCTCATTGTTTTTCTGCTTATGTTTTGTCGGCTGTATGTAATTTCTTGATTTGTTTTTTTTTGTTTTTTTCTTTTTCTTTTTTTTTCTGACCAAATGATTTCGAATAATACTTTATCATCTTAGTGACTTTGTTTTCAGTCGTTTAAAGTGGAACGTAGTATTTATGCTCATATCTGGATCATACAGTTTGCTAAAATTTCGTTAGAAGTTATAGTTCAAGACTTTCATGATGACATTTTTATTAGGAGTTGTTTTTTTTTCTTCAATTTTTCGCTTTAATTGGTTTTGCATTTTCGGTTTAAGGATGTCAAACCGGGGTCACATTACTTTTCCAGGCCTTTTTGTTGCTTTTAATCGGTTTTCTTTATAAGACCCCTCAAAAACCGCTCAAATCTTGCTTGAAAAACCGTTCAAAAATCACCGCAAGAAATGAGCGGTTTTTTAAGCAAGATATGAGCGGTTTGAGCGGTTTTTCCAAAAAAAACCGCTCAAACCGCTCAAATCTTGCTGAAAAACCGCTCAAACCGCTCATATTTTGAGCGGTTTTTGAGCGGGATCTCGACCCGGGTACTGTTATGGTTCTTTTTTAGTGTTCAAGTTTTATGCTTTGGTTAACATGTTGATTTTGGAGTTCAAGTTTTATTTTAGATTTTTTTTTTCAAAAAAGTGTCCAGAGTTGGAACCGGGCTGGGCATTTTTATAGGCCGGGCCGGGCTCGGGCTTCATTTTTAGGATCACTAACCGGGCCTGGCCGGGCCGGGCCCGGACCCGAACCTGACTTTCAAAAGAGTTCACACCTTTCACTTTTCACTTCACGCCTTTTGAAACTTCATTTCACAGTTGCTGGGGCTTCCGTTTAGGCAAAAATCAGCCAACTGGAACTACTAAGATCAGCTGCAGCCAATGGATTTATTGCTCCGATCATAAAAATGGGGAGGAGCTCTATATTCGGGTGTGTTTTAGCTTTTTTTTGTTTTCCACACAAAATCAGCTACCACAAATAATTATAGGACTGTGTTGAGTGTCATGTCATATTAAAACATTTTCAGTAGTGCTTTTCTCAGTGTCGAGAAAAAGCTTTTCCCAAGTTTTTTCCCAATGTCGAGAAGAACCGGTTTGAAATTTTTGAATTTTTCGTCGAATTTCGAGCGAGTGAACAAGCTTACATTAGCTTATTTATGCTTAATTTAAGTTTAGTTTACTCAAGTGTGTTTAATAAAATGAAATTAGGTTTTGGAGTTTTTAGCTTCATCATAGGAATCAAAAAATTTGGAAAAAAAATAACAAAAATTAATGAAAAAAATTTCAATTTTTTAAAATTTTTTGTTTTTTTTCTTGTTATTTGTCTTTACCCTTGCAATAGCAAGGGTTTTGCAATCGGGTACTCTTTTCCGGTAAACAGTTTTGTCTTAATGAATTTACTCTAGTGTACTTCTGGACTCACCTCCAGAGGTAACTTCCCGGCGTACTTCAAATTCTTAGCGTTCCCGTCCAACTTCGCCTGGAGGCAACAATTTTGGCTGGTCTGACAAAGGTCCTGGGCTTGAATCTGACCAAAATTTGTTTTTTTTTTCACACGGGAAATATTTGTTTCAAAAAAATTGTCGGCTCATTATTTTTCTGCTTATGTTTTGTCGGCTGTATGTAATTTCTTGATTTGTTTTTTTTTTGTTTTTTTTTTCCTTTTTATTTTTTTTCTTTCCAAATGATTTCGAATAATACTTTATCAGCTTAGTGACTTAGTTTTCAGTCGTTTAAAGTGGAACGTAGTATTTATGCTCATATCTGGACATACAGTTTGCTAAAATTTCGTTAGAAGTTATAGTTCAAGACTTTCATGATGACATTTTTATTAGGCGTTTTTTTTTCTTCAATTTTTCGCGTTAATTGGTTTTGGCCTATATTAACTCGACTTAACGACCTCATATTGCGTCTGTCGATCAGCTAAAAAAGGTGTGCGACCAGCGAAAAAAAATGGTTCATTTGGCGAGCAATTAAAGTTTTTTGTTTGTGTGTTGAGGGCGAGGGCAACTTGTAACTTCTTCAAGTCTTATGTCTCGTTAATTTTTTTGGCTTAAAGGGTTTCTGCTAAGGTATTTTCTGCTTTGTTACCGCGTGGTAAGTTTTCTTCGATGCCAAACTTACTTTCTATTGCCTTGTATAATTGTTGTGTCGCAAGTGACGCGAAGCTCAGCTTCGCCTCTGTGTCAAAAAATATTATCCAATTTGCATATTTTACAAAACGTTTAAGCTCTACTTTTTCGCTCAGATTTCTTTATCACACCATGCCGCAAAAACGTCACTAATTTGAAAAAAAAAACATTTTTGCTGTAATTTTTTAAGATTGGTCGGAACATTTTGTGCTACTTACACAGTAGCCGGCTATCCTTGTTAAATTGATTTTGTTTGGAAATTATTGTTTTCACTAAAAAAGGGCCCAGGCTTGACATTTTTGTTCTCCAACCGGGCCGGGCCCGGGCTTCAAATTCAGGTCAAGTTCCAACTCTGAAAGTGCCCAGTTTAACATATTGTTTTTTCAATAATCCATTAATATCGGATTTTGTCAGTTCATTAGTTAAGTCAAGAGTAATATTTAGGTTATATATAAATATGACTAATCTATCAAATATTGCTCACTAATTTTTTGTGTTCTGATTGCCAAATTTCCACTTTTATGCTTTCCATGGCTGCGTAATAAATGTAGAGTTGCTTCCTTTGATGTCTTTTGGACACTTCGCTCGTGTCGTGTGTTCAGTACTTCTCGGTAACAGATCACACGACTTCGTCCGAGGCACCGACAATCGAGGAGCTCCATATTTCGTGCCTTTCGTAACATTCGGCTGGAGAGTTCTGGTGTAGTTCGGGTTGTACAAGAAATCGTAGAAGCTTCGCCCTTCGGGGTGGCAGAAGTTCATTTCTCCAGACGAATGCTTCGGATGACGCATTCGGTTTTTGGACGAGTTGAAAGATACATTCGTCTTCGTGACACTTATTTTGTTTTGCTTCCGGCTTGACTCGGCAGACCGCTTTAAAGGTTCCCGATTAATATTTTTGGCATTGAGACTGGCAATTTCTGCATCGCTATGTGTAGATAGCCATGCATTTCTTAAAAAAATTCTCAAATGTGAGTGTCGAGAAAAACTAAACAAGAACGAACTTCAAAAAAAAAATCAGAATAGATTCAAGTAACAAGAGTTTTTGAGAGAGTTTACAAACGAGATTAATCTTGGTCTCCGAAAACACTATAAAATTTTGAGACTAAAATAGTTCAAAAACTGATTCTAGTTTTGTTTGTTGGACGAAAAATAAAGTCAAGCTTGAAATGCAAAAAAAAAACATGTGACCTACTTTTTGCACTCTTCAGAGCCGATTCCAGTAATTTTCTCGTGACTTTTGGAACTTTGCGGTCGACTTTTGAGCCGCGTTTCACTCCCGTTATTTTCTGTGTAGTTGTAATTGTTCAGTTCTTCGTTATCTCGCGTTGGTTTGCATTTATTTTTTCCCTGTTTCCGTTTTTCGCAAAAACTATTGGCGCTTTCTAAGTGTCTATGTCGCAGTGAACATAAACAGCTTCGCTGTGAGTACCTTGCACTCGAAAGCAAAAAGCTTTCTCGCTCCTTATTTTTCCTTCCTCTCTCCTTAAGTAACCTCGTCTTCGGATTTTGCTCTAATGTATTGGCAGAAGTTGTCTGATTTGGTCTGTTTCTGACAACAGGAGACGTGCATGTAAGAAGAGTTGGACCATCCGCGTTCGAAGTTTTTCGCCGACATAATAGCTCTTGATTCGTTTTATCTGACGAGTGAGGGGAAGTTTTTCTCGACAAAGATAAAGTTTTTGAGTTTCTGAGTTTGCTAGGACTATGTTGAGATCTTCCTGTGGGACTCAAAACCCCTGAAGATTTCAAGTCGATCGGAGAACTTCTGATGGATGGTTTATTGCTGTTTTTCGGCGTTTCTGTATTTCCAACATCAAGTTCTAAATAGAAACTGAATTTATGTTAAAAAATATTTATTCACGAGATTAAAGATCATCGTACGAACTGTCCATGCTTTTAACTGCGACCCGCTGTTGTGTTCCCACCTTTAACATGTATATGCAAGATTTTGTTTGAGTTTATTTTCTGACCTCTGTTCAACATTGCCTCATGATCAAGAACTGATCAAGTATCGGGTTCGTTGGGTCTCGAACCCCCGACCTTTCGGTTGAGGGGCGGACATCCTAGCCACTACACAGCTGCTTTGGCATGAAAAGTTTTTTTTTAACCTGGAGAATGTTGTGAGCTGAGCGATGATCTGCATTGCCGACCTCGGCTGTTTGTTTCAGGAATTTCTTCCACATCATCATCCGAGGAGCTCCAGTAGGGCATGTCATCTAGATCGTCAGAAAACTCGACTGACTCCGCTTTTTTATTTTGACTGTCTTCGACAACTATAACAGAGCATCAGCAATGTACATAATTCCTTTTTTATGGCCAATTTTTTTATGTATACATCTGCTTTTTCTTTTTTCAATTTCATCTAAACTCTAATCAGTTTGAGTTAACAACTTTTTTTTCTTTACTTATGCTTTTTTAATTTATTTTGGAAATTAATAGACTACAAAGTAATTTTGTTGTTCTTAAGCCTGATATAGGGACCAGTTTTGAGTTCATGTAAGTGCTATCAATTCTTCTAGATAGACACCAGTTTGAGTTTATGTAAGTGCTATCAATTCTTCTTTCTGTCTGGGGACCTGCTGTCTTGACCTTGCGATCTCTAATGTGCGATGGGATCTGAAATAAAAGAGTGCAGTAAGATTTCGATTTGATGCCTAACAGTTTGTCTACAATACAACTTATTAACAACCTTTTTGAATTTCCAAACTTACGACTTTAACATGGCGCAGCCAGCAGAGAAAAAAGGAGGGGGAAAAAATCCATTAAATATAGTAGCATTTTGGGAAACACGAACGCCGGAACCTCCAGTATATTGGGAGGAGTGGATAATTAAATTTCACTGGGGGATGATAGCAAAATACGACATTGATCCCGATGATTTCTATTTTGCGAGTACTCTAAATGCGGCGGCTATCACGGCGTTGCCTGAAGAAGTAAATGGGAAAAACCGTCTCGAGTCGGAAAAGAAGTTAAAGTCTAATCTATATCTATGTATCGGAGACGAGGCGCAACGGATATTCAAAGCACGGAAACCGACGGTTAACATTAAAACTGAACGGTACCCACGGGTTCTAGATGAGATGCAAAATGTTTTCCAACGTGAAAGGAATGTAACTCATGAGCGGGGACTATTCTACGGACGAAAACAACGTGAGAACGAAACTTTCGAAAAATTTCATGCGGAACTTAGTGCCCTAGCAGGAAGATGTGATTTTGCCAACGCGGCCGAAAACGTTCGTGATATTTTCATTATGAATATGCGGGAATCGGACTGCCAACGAGAATTGTCACGATCAACTAAGTTATCGGAGGAAGTTTACCGGATCGCCTTATCATATGAACGTGGTGAGCGCGCATACAAATCATATACGGGAAAACCAGCATCATCAGCTCCGGCAGTTTCAATAAAACAGGAACCAGTAAATAATATAAGAAGGGGACAAGGATTTTTTCGAGGCCGAGGACGTGCGGTACGTGGAGGATATACCCAAGGATCAAGTAGTAGTGGGGGAAGCGGAAGTAACCGTAGGTGCTACAATTGCGACGCGCCAAATTTTACCCTGGACCACATCGCGAGCTGTCCTGCAAAAGGAGCAACATGTAACTCATGCCGAAAACTGGGACATTTTGAACGAACATGCCGAGGAATTAGAAGGGGTATTAACCAGTGGAGAGGACGTGGACGAGTCGGATTGGTCAGGGAGGAAAATGAGCATCATCAAAGTACGCAGAACGTAAACGAATTGAACGAAGACCCAGTATCGTGGGTGAATCAGCAGGGGTGTGGGGAAAACGAGTCCATGACGTCGGGATCGGATGACTACATGGTAATGTCGATAAAAAGGAAGAAAAATGAGACTGAATTAAAGATCCCTGGGGCCCGCGTTCAAGTGGAGGTGTCAAGTAAAAAGATGTGGTTGTGGATAGATAGTGGATCTCCAGTAACTATCTTCAGCATAAACGACCTAAAAACAACGTTAGGAAAAGCAAACATTCAACTACAACCGTCAAAGGAGGAATTTTTGGATTACAACAACAATCGAATAAACATACTAGGGAAGGTAACAGTGATGATGTCGCTAGATGGCTGGGCAGCACCAGCGCGGGTGTCAGTAATATCCGGAAATCATCAATCAATCCTCGGGCGCGACCTGATGGGCACCCTGGGTCTCGAGCTAGTTCAAAGAAAGAAAGTGATGGGAATCACAGGGGAAGGGACCAGTCAAGAGGAGGAGGAATACGACGAATTGCAAACATACTTCTGTAAGTTGTACCCAAATTTATTTACTAGGATAGGGAAGATCCAAAATGCGAAAGTAAGAGCTGAATTTTTTGAAAATTTGAAGCCTATACAACAAAAAGGGCGTAGGGTGCCAATCAGTCTACAAGAAAAGGTGGATAAAGAGATTCATCGGCTGATAAATGAAGGACATATCATAAAATTACAAGAGTGCTCAGATAAGTATTTCGTCTCTCCTATCGTCATTACAGTAAAAAAGGACGGAAGCATAAAACTAGCACTAGAATCAAGAGAATTGAATAAACAGGTACAGAAAAATAAGTACCAGATGCCGAATATTGACGAATTAATTGACGGAGTAAGTCAGATTATTGCGGAGAAAAAATCGGGGAATGTATACTTTACAACATTGGACTTCACATATGCGTACGGACAAGTCGCATTAGAACAGAAAACAAGCGAGCAATGCAATTTCTCATTAGTCGGCGGAAAATCCACGGGGAGTTATCGTTTTAAAAACGGTTTTTACTGACTTACGTCTATGCCGGCGGAATTCCAGAAGGTAATAGATAATTTACTGAAGGAGTTCCCCCAGGCTAACGCGTTTATTGATGATATCTTAATAGCTTCAAAAGAAACTAAAATCGAACACATTGCGTTAGTGGAAAAGATATTGAAAAAGCTGGACGTCTCCAATGTCGCGTTAAAACTGCGAAAATGCGAATTTGCGAAAACTGAGTGCGATTGGCTTGGATTTCGAATTGGGGAAAGTGGTATAACGCCCTTAGTAAGAAAAACACAAGCTGTAGCACAGTATCTCGAAAGCAGTTGAAATCCTTGATGGGTTCGTTACATAGCTTACACAAATTTTTACCCAAACTTGCCGAGTTAAGCGCACCGTTATGGCCACTACTGAGCCAAAATAATGATTTTGTTTGGACGCCCGTGTGCGAAAACGCGTTCCAACAATTAAAATCGCTGGTGAAAAATATCGTCGAATTACGACATTTCGACATTCACCGTGAAACTAGAATCATTTGTGACGCTAGCCACGATGGCCTAGGGGCCGTTTTAGAACAGTATGGCGCCTCCGGATGGCATCCGATTTCGTTTGCATCTCGTTACCTTAATCCGGCTGAGAAAAAATACTCCACAAACGAATTGGAATTACTCGCGGTAGTGTGGGCCACGGAACATTTTCGGAATTATATATACGGTCGATATTTCACAGTGATATCTGATCATAAAGCGCTACTCACATTGTTGAATTCGCCACCAAAAGGAAACAAAACATTTTTCAGTCGCTTAACTCGTTGGTATGATCGTCTGGTGCCATACGACTTCAAGGTTGAACATCGACAAGGGTCAAAAATGGGGATGGCTGAATATCTGTCTCGGTTTCCGTCCGCAGAGGCACCCGAGACGAGCCATTACGATGAAAATTTTACAGTAGCAAAGATAAGAATGATAAACGGGGCGTTGAAGCCTAAGGACAAAATGAAGCCTAGCGGTCAAGAAGTGAACAACATTCAGCGAAAACCGACGGTAGGGGGCGTAAAGTCATGTGTCGACACAGCGAAAGCAGTTTCATCCAATGAGAATGTAAGAACAGACAATTATGCAAATATTCACCGTGAGCACAAACGCTCAATAGAGGGCGTGTTTACATGCAACCGACGGTTAACCAATCAGCGTCGAGATATTTGCATACCGAAGGAAATATGCAAATACCGAAGAACGAGATTCAGACTTTGTTCTCATTGCTTAAATTACAGTTGCCAAAACAAAAAATTTATTCAATACCCTCGAAACCCTTCCATTTCATCAAATTACAAGTACAAACCTTCGGTGTCAACAAATTAAAAGTGCGAACCATCCATCTTACAAGATTGCAGTGAAAGGCCACCTGCTTTGAAAATTTACAGTAGTAAAGATTATAGTGAAAAGCCAATTACTTTGAAAAAATACAGTAGCAACTCTGGGAGAAATAACATGAGTAATTCGCCAGAAAAGTATGATCCTCCAACTTCGGCAATAGTCAATACATCAACTAATTCGGGAAATGTTAATCTAAATGTTGTGTTAAACCGTCTAAGTCAACCTCCCAGCGTTAGCTCGGATTCCGATATTGAAATGATACCACCTGAAAAACTTGATACTAAACAAACTAATTCTAAAAAACTGAATACAATTATATCTTTTCCACATCAGTTCCCCGGTTTATCGTACCCACTTGTACAAAATGAAAAATGGATCTATTCCATAGCGCCGTCGGATAGTAAAATTTTGAAGAAAATTGAACACCCAGAAGTTTTGAATTTAAAATTAATCGAAGCAAACATTGAAAGAGACCCAATTATGAAGACCATCCGAGACAACATCAGAGACAGGAACCCACGAGCAAAGGAGATTATTACAAAATTAGGACAATAATACGCCCAGCATTACAACGATTTCGCAGTAAGGGAGAATTGCCTGTGGATGGACGGCCGGTTAGCGATACCGAAGGACCTATCATCAGCAATTCTAAATCGTCTCCATTATAACCATCATGGGAGGGATAAGATGTTCGCGGCGGCAAAGAACGTGTGGATTCCTCTTATGCACCGAAATATCGCGGCCACAGTCAAATACTGCAAAAGTTGTGTAGAAGCAGGTAAAAACCTTAAACCAGAAATTCCCAAAAATGACATGGGGGAAACGTACAATCCTAAGGAACCAAATGATTTGGTCCAAATAGACTTCTGGGGTCCAGTAAACTATGTTAGTGGTCGGAAAAAATATGTACTTGTAGCAGTAGATACTTTCTCGCATTGGCCGTCAGCGTATGTTTGTTCAAGCAACAAATCAAAAAGTGTATTGAAATTCCTAAGGAAGTACATAAATACTCATGGACACCCAAGGAAATTGCACATGGATCAAGCCACGGGGTTTTTCTCTAACGAAATTCAAAACTTCTGTAACTACGAAGGTATTTAACTTATTAAATCTCCGGTTAGGGACCATCGTGCAACAGGAATGGTTGAACGGACTATTGGGTCGATAAAAAATTACGTGTTGACTTATCTCCAGGAAAATAAGAACTACAAGTTTGGGGAGATGATCTCCCGTGCGCTTAGTGCATTACGTTTCGTGCCACACTCTAAAACTAAACTAACGCCATTCGAAGCATACCATAGTCGAGAAGCTAATACGGCACTGCGAAACTTAACGAAAAGGCCGTCATTAAAAAACCTAAATTGGAACAATGTCGTTAATCAAAAGTTATCTTGTTTAGACAAGGCGGGAAACCTCCCAGATGTTGAACTTGCCCTAGATTGGGAGAAGAGAAGTGACTTAGTGTTCGCCCCCCAAAATAGGAAAGCTCCAATCATGTTGGACGATGACGAGGTAGCGGATCCCAAGGCTCCGGAAGTTGTGAACCCCAAGGAACCAGGCCCACCCAAGACCCCAACATGGCTGAAAAGAAATAAAGCAAGTTCTACGACGGTGTATCAAAGGACCGGGAAGACGGATCCAAAGGACCCAAGGAGGTATAAACGTTTGCCATTAAAAATTGACAAAATGACTAAACATACGGTGCAAATGAAAAAAGGGTCGTTACTAAGGCGGAGTGGTGTGTCTTTTAGATCGGCGGCTGAAGAAGGCCTAATTGGGAGTAAAAGCGAGGAGTGCATCCCTGGACCGAGTAGGAACGTGACCAGTACACCAGCCTCAAGCGATTCGAACAAATATAAACGAAAAGCGGAAAAGGACCGGGCCGCAATGGAAAATGCAAGAAAAGCAACAAAGCAACGAATAGTGGAATACTCGGCGCACGAGAGCGAAGACGACGTCGACGAATACGATAGTGAGTGGGAAATCGGCCGAAGGGAACCTACCCTAGGTGCGACGAACGAAGGACAGGATGTACCGTCGGTTAGTGTGAACTCACCACAACCCGTCGGTGGAAGACGCAATAAAAATCAGCACGAAGCGGCGACGCGAAAATCAACACGGCAGAGACGCGTAGTAGACAAAATGGGGGGGGGGGGTTATGATCCACCGCATAGAACATAAATGATGGAATCGACAAAACGATAAAAGAAGAAAAGTAACCTTAAGAGAGGTTTGGCGGGTGAGAAAACTCAACAAAACTAAAACTCAACTAGTACATTTATATAATACAATACAGTAACATAAAGTTGATAAATTTTATCTACGCTAAAATTTATTTGTGGTTGCCCGAATGATATAGGGACCAGTTTTGAGTTTATGTAAGTGCTATCAATTCTTCTAGATAGACACCAGTTTGAGTTTATGTAAGTGCTATCAATTCTTCTTTCTGTCTGGGGACCTGCTGTCTTGACCTTGCGATCTCTAATGTCCGATGGGATCTGAAATAAAAGAGTGCAGTAAGATTTCGATTTGATGCCTAACAGTTTGTCTACAATACAACTTATTAACAACCTTTTTGAATTTCCAAACTTACGACTTTAACAAGCCAAAGAAAGCTGCATATCAATAACAAACAACTTGTTAGGGAGCTCCGACTAAAAACATTTTCTTGTCATTTTAAAATAATTTTATATTAATTATTATGGAAAAATGGGTTGACAAAAAAACTAGTCGGAAATTTTCAAATCATAAAAAGAATTCGATCATAAAATTTCATAGAAAAAACAAGGATAGCCGGATACTGTGCAAATAGCACAGAATATTCCTAAAATAGCACAGAATAAAAAATACCAAAATTTTTTTTCAAATTACTGTAGTTTTTCTGCGTGGCGTGATAAAATAATCTGAAAAAAAAACATAGGACTTAGGCGTTTGCGACAGTCAGAGTAAAAAGGTCAACTAGAAAACAGTTTTCCAAGAAAATTGACTATAAAAAACGAAAAAAAATCGTTAAACCAATTTTAAAGTTTTAAAAAAGAATTTCAATTGTTTTGCAGAAATTTTTGGAATTTTTGATTGAAGGAGGATCCAACTTTCCTTCTGCACACCGAGACTTTCCTTCTGATTTCTTGTATAGAGTATCGCACAAAGTCATAACAAAGAAGTGTTTATGGCTATAAAATTGTAATTTGGTCATTTCCGCGGTTTTTGACCTGTTTGTTGACAAATTTAAGTTCATTATACTAAATAAATACACACGAAAAATTAGTTCTCGCTTCTCACAAAAGACGCATTGTGATTTTTGTTTCTTGTTTTGTGTCTGAAATACGTTATAGACAAAATATATAGCACCAGAAACTTTTTCCAACGGAGGCTGTCTGTCTAGATAGAAATAAGATAAATTAGTTTAGAAATAAACAGTTTCTGAATAAATGGGAATGCTACGACAAGCATTTCTTTCTTAGATACCATGTTTGGAATGGTACGATGTCGGGGCAGCTGACAATTCGTGCTATTGTTTTTCATTGAAGATTGATCTTAAAGCTCTCTAGAAAATAGAACTTTCTGTCTGATTTCAACTAAGTTTGTTCGAAACTTGACTTATTTTTTTACCTGAAAAATCCCTAAATTTACGACTTTTTTCTTTTCTTTATTCACATAAACATTATCTAAAAAAATGACCTTTCTTCCTTGATTTACCTAAAATTTTTTTAAAAATTTTGACCTGTTTTTTATAGACCTTAAAGCTCTCTAAAAGTTTGATCATTTATTTTCTTTGTTCACTTAAAATCTCTCTTCATTGTTTCTTTTATTGATTGACCTAAAAGCTCTCTTCAAGAATGACCTTTATTTCTTGAACGACCCAAAAGCTCTCTTCAGGATTAACCTTTCTATCTTGATTGACCTCAACGTTCTCAAAAAGATTGACTTTTCGTTCTTGATTGACCTAAAAGCTCCCTTCAAGATTGACCGAGCTCTCTTGATTGACCTACAAGCTCTCTAAAAGATTGACTTTTGTTTCTTGGTTGACCTAAAAGCTCTCCAAACGATTGACTTTTCATTCTTGATTGACCTAAAAGCTTTCCAAAAATTGACTTTTTTTCTTGATTGACCTTAAAGCTCTCTAAAAGATTGACTTTTCTTTCTTGATTGACCTCAAATCTTTCTTAAACATTGACCTTTCTTTCTTGATTGACCTAATATCATTTGTTCTAACTGCCTGGAAAACTTACCACGCCCAGGTGTCATGGGACTTTTTAGCGTGATGGTGAAGGTTTCATTTTTGGTGTCCTTTTTGGTCCTGTGACGCCTTGACCTCCCGGAAACTTGACTGAACAATTCATTTGGACTGCAAGTTTTGTGGGGTGTTGAAGATACGGTAACGCTCTCGATCTAAACGACACAATTGTTCTTCACGTTGCATAGACATGCCCTGCTTATTTAGCCCAGGAATCAGTGGCAAAACGTTTTTTTTTTGGATTTTACAAGATCTATTTAGTTAAGGCTACAAGTTCAAATAGAATGCAATTATTATAACTGTAGGTAACAGTTACAATCTATTATAACTGTAGGGTTTCCTGTAGTTACCAGGTTACTCAACCTTGGAAAAAAATTTTGCCGAGTTCATAGACGTTTCACTCGATTTTCATTTTAAAAATCAGTTTGCAATTATATACGGATCGAATAGCATTTTTGAGTGATATATATCTTGATTAGGATTCATCAGAAACAATAAGTAGGATGAACGATGGCTTAGGACAATCGATAGGAGAGCAGTTAGCGACTTTTGATGACAAAGATCGAAAGCCTCAACCGAGTGTTTTTTATTCTCACGTGAAAGGAACGAGGCCGTGATTTAGTCACGTGATGTCCCTGCTGCTTCAACGTGATCTCCAGCTTCCACAGTCCTTCCATTTCATCTGTCAGTTGATTGGTCGAAGAGACGTCTGTCGATATTGGAATTTCGTTTTTACTATGAGTGTTTTTATTTGGGGAAATCCCTTTCTTCGACCCATAAACCCAAACCATTTTTGGGAAACGATAATTCACAATCAACAAAATGAATATAACTATCAATTTTTTGCCAGATTTTAGAAAAAAAATATAAAAAAAATCAATGAAAATAAGCAAAATAATCTAATTGAAATATATGAAAAGTTTTATTCAAAAACTGTCGCGAAACGTGATTCAATTCTAGCTTCAAAAGAAAATAATTTTTTTTTGACGTTGAGCTATTTTTCCCGTCTATTTTTTCTCCAAGGCAGAGTATCTGGATTGTATAGGAAATCCAATTGTCTGGAGTAAATTTTCAAAACAGGTGTGGTCGTCAAAACACATAACAAACGAGATTAGGATAATCTGATTAGGAAAAACTGTAACCATTACTTGAGCTCAAAACAGAAACTGACATTTGGAGCAAAAATCAAAGAGCAAAAAAGCTTATTACATTTTCGTTTTTTTGCTAATACAAGTCAGAGAATCATTTACTAAGTAAAAAAGTAATAGCTGAAGTAAAAAATTCTTTTAAAAACAAACAATGACAAAATTTGTAGGATCTCTTTAATTATTGCCCCCTCCTCTTGGGTATCTTGTAACGGTTAAAAAATCTTTCCGGTTTGTTTATAGAGAAAAATAGTTACAGAGATCTGAGTTTTTTTAATGGCCTGTAAAATTTTGAAATTAATTCTTAATTTGGAATTATCTTTTCGCAAGAATGATTTGGATTTATGGGTTCAAGAAAGGGACTTACCCTAATAAAAAACCCATTGCTGAAGTTACTTATTTTTTTTTGGCACAGATTTAATGGCAGAAGGATGTTTTCTTCTTTAAAATTTAACCCGGACCAGCTCCCACCTTGCAACTCAATCTTTGACTTTTTACTTCGTGGATGTGAGGGATGACATTCATTTTGCCGCAGCCGGTCCCACCTTATGGAGGCGGATTACAATGGTACCCCTCCAACCATGACCGGAGCAGGATTCGAACCCACGACATTTGAGTTAAAGGCCGCGTCTCATACCCAGTAGGCCACTGCTGCTCAAGGAGGTTTTTTGAGAAATTTTGCCGGATTTTTTTTAAACAGCCTTTGTGAACTTTCGGCATCTGTTGAAACTCTAAATTTTAGCGTCAAATCATACACCAGATTTTAATTTGAAATCGCCAGATTGCGTATTAGTTCCCATGCCATGGCAATGATAGTTCTAGCTCACTTTACTTCTAGCTTCAGGTCTAGCTCACTTTACTTCTAGCTGCAGGTCTACCACAGCCTTACCAATTGCGGCACAACAGATTTACCTCGTGAAATTTCTAGAAGCAAAACAACTGCATTGAGTCGCAAAATCGACTATCCTCGACATGACTGTTAAAGGCCTACTGAATCACATTACTTTTTTTATTGAATTTCATTTAAGATATCCCTGCAATGATTTTAGAGTTCGTGTTTTTGCCTTCGCTGGTTAAATTCCCTCAAATAACACTGGGATTAAAGTAATTGCCGTATCAAAAATTTCAGACGTGATTTGATTTCAGAAATATAATACAAAACACTGTGGTTTAGATTTTGCTGTTTTAGTGAGCGAAAGCGGGTCTTCCCATAGAGTTCTTCTGATCAACTTTTCCTTTTGTTTTTACAAAATCAACATCTGATCAATTCTTTCGTTTTTTGTTTTAGAAAACAAATGCGAGTGGTTTATTAGTCAATCAGCCAAAATTAAAGGCATTTTTCTTTAAATAGACATTTTTTCAAAAGCATTTTTTTCTGTCTTACCTTTTTTCTAATGCTTACAAGAAACGGCAGCTGCATAAATTGTCGAGCTAGGAGTGTTGCAATAAATTCGATGCGAAGATATTTTTTCAAAGTTTTTTTATATGGATGCGATAATGGTTTAGAAACCTACCTATAAAAGAAGACAATGGTGGAATCGATGTATTTTTTGTTTGTTTCGAATTGCCACAGTGAAACAATTGATTTCCAAAGACGTCAAAAAGTTGAAGCCTTCGCATTTTGTCAATTTGACGAAATTCATTTTAGACTGAAAAAAAACAGTGCGATCAAATAGGGTCTCATTAAACGCGCCATTGATTGCAAGCCTAAGGACAATCAGCCTTTCACCAAAAAAAAATCACCTTGGTACTTGGTAAATGAAAAAAAAACACGATTTGTTATTTCGCAGATGTTATATTGATTTCGGAATACAAACTTTGAAAGACAGTTATCATTTATAAGAAAAACAAAACATAAAAGCCCTCTCAAACCAGTTAATACAATTTTTTTTTATGAAGACCAAACTCCACGAAAAACAAAAACAAGATAGCTGATTTGATTAATATAAACCCAAGACGACAACAACTACTAAACCACAATATGCTGCTGTATTAAAATGAATTGCTCTTATTTTCCACCGTGAAAACTAGCCGTTTTTTTAACGTGGCAGCAAGTTTTCCCATTCCTCCAACAGAACAAACATAACAATAGGTGAAGAAAAAGCTCAATTTTTCGAATGTGCTGTTCGCATTAAATTTCGTCATCAAACTTCTGTAGGCAGAGGAAAGATGGTCAAAATTCAATTCGGCGCAAGGGTTGGAAATATTAGTTTTTTACTTGGAAAATTGAATTCTATAGCCGTTTGCGGCAACATCTGAAGGAGTTTCAGCTTCGCTTACTGTTGTTCTATGCGATATGTTTTCGGCCAATAAGTTTTTTTATGTGAGTTTCAGTTTTAAAGTTTGTTAAAATTTCTATCAACAACTCTGCTGTGGCGTTTCTATATTTCGTTGTGCCGTGTTGCGGTAAACAACCGGTAAAACATGACAACATATCCGGATGCTCGACTTCTGTTGTGACTTTGACATTCAAGTAAGTGCAGTTTTGCGACTGAAACTACTCGGTCGAAAAGCAATTTTAAGTTAAACATAAAGTCTAATTTTACCCGATTTCGATCGGGAGTCGAAACATGAATCAAGCACCTCAATTCGGGTAAGTTAAACTGAAAATTTTGTAACACAAACACAATGCGAAGATACTTATAAATAGAAACCGTAGTCTTCTATAGAATAACCAATTTGAAATACCTTTTTCTTTGCCTCTTAATAGGCTCTGCTTTATTAACTTACTCATCTCCTAGAAGTTTCTTGAAAAGCGCCAAACTGAAACAAGACTGCTCGTATCAGGGCAAAGCTCTGAATGTTCCGACTGCCTTTTAAGGTCTATTGAGCTTTAAAAACCTGAAAAAGTTAAATAAAATAAAATAAATCGAACTTTTTTTTTATATTTCAGAATTTCGTTTTGAAAATCATCCCCTCGCGCCATAGAAAGTGCGGTACCACGACAATTTGCAAGAAAGACAACTCGCAACAAAAATTTCTTTTCAAAGTTTCTTTTTTGATTAGTTGTTTTACGTGTTATTATGGAAAGCGCGTGATGTTACGATGTAAAATATACAGATCAAATATATTAACAATTATTAGTTTGTTCACCATGCGGATTTTTGACAAGTTTCATTGCACAGTCAACAAACTAACAGGTATGATCAAAAATTTGCCTCGTACCTTACATTGTAATATTGCGCGTTAAGCCATAACAACGCGCAAAACAACTAAAAATCTTTCGAATTTTTTATAAAATGAAAAGTTCGAAAGATGAAGGAAGTGCTAATATAAAAAAATGAAGGCTTTTCTCCATTTCCCCCTCCCATTTTTTGAATTTAATTTTTAAAAACTACTTTAGCATTGTCATAATGCAATGAAACTTAGCATAACTTGGTGAACAAAAATTGAGCAATGAAACTTTGTAAACAAACCAATAATTGTGAACAGATTTGTTATTCATAACTTTCATCGCGCGTATAGCCATTCATAAATATGACAAAGTTAAAATTGTTTTTACAACTTGAAATTCAAATGTGGGGGAAGTAGAAAAGAGCTTATCAACTTTATGGTGTAACGAGGGGTTCTTTGTATGATGATCAAGTATGTTTTTCGTCGCTTAATCAGCCCACATGAAAATTGTTGTAACAATCGGACAATGTGAGCAGAAAAATTAATTACTAAGTTTTGCAGGAGTTTTAAGATTTGTTCTTCATACTTTACAGCGTAACATCACGCATTTAGCCGTAATAACACGTAAAACAAACATAAAACTGGGTATTTTTGAGAGGGGTGGACTGGAAAAGAGCCAAGACTACTTTTCGAGTTCTGAATTGTGCGCATATTTAGGAGCGCACGCAATTACCAAAACGCAAATGATTACTCTCATTGAATAGTTCGTCATGGTCAAATCGGAACGTGCTTTTTTCTTCTTGTTTTATCAGAGTTCGTGGCTTGCTTTTCAGTGCTTTGGTGTCTATTCTGACTCGGAGTCAACGGATAAAACCGCTGTCCGTAGAGACGATACTTTAAACAAAAGGTTAGCAAATCTTTATATAATGGTACGGATGGATAGTGGATTACCGTTTTCCATTTTTGATTTTTGAGACTTCAAGGATCTCAACCCCCTCGCCACCTAAACGGCCTTCTTTGGCACTCGAGAAAAACCTAGATCCTCCCCTGCCCCCTAACTTTGCAAACTTTTTAGGCTGTTTTTCAGTTTCTCTCTAACTTCTTTTTCTAAAATCAATTTGTCAAAACGAGTTTTGGCTCTTTTCCACCCCCCTGGTAAAATTACAAAATTAGGCTGCTCAAAAATTGTTCACACGGCGTTTTGAATATAAAAAATGTTGTCAAAACTTGTTCACCTGTTCACGCTGACACGTTTTTATGCAGTTTAGAACATGAAAAACAATTTTAAATAGTCTTTCACATATTGAATTTCAGAAAAAATTAAATGGGGGGGGGGGGGGTTTAACTGGAAAAGAGCCCGATTTTTGATTCTCCCCTTCAAGTTCAATTTTGAAAAGTATATTTAGCGTTGTCATTATGCAAATTTGACAATTGTGAACAGATTTGTTCTTCATACTTTACAGCGTAACATCACGCATTTAGCCGTAATAACAGGTAAAACAAACATAAAACTCGGTGTTTTGAAAGGGGGGACTAGAAAACAGCCCAGATTTGTTCTTTTGAACTTCATGCTTTACAGCGTAACATTTCGCGTTTAGCCATTATAACATGCAGGGGCGGATCTAAGATTTTCTCG